GACGGATCACTGAATCACCAACTCAAATGATTTGTTTAGAAATAGATTCAGAACACTACAATTACTACATTATCATAGAATAAAAATGAACAGATGAAATGAAGACAATATTTTAATTCACATTCATTCATCACGTCACATGACTTATGTTTGCTCTCATACACACCTGAGCAGTTGTCCACCGAGGACGTAAGATGATTGAAATCTGACTCTGCTAGTACACCTCCTGTCTGGATAGATAGATATGGATGAATAGATAAATAATAACCCCCCTGTCCAAACTTTACAAACATTGTTTTGAGTTGTTTTCTTTTAAAATGGTGCACGAATCATTTTTTTACCCTGTGAGTTAGCAGGAGGGACCTAGAGGTATTTTGTGGGCACCTAATGGGCCTATATTATTATTTTTTTTAAAAGCAGTTTTATTTTTATTTTAGCAGTCAGCCTCAAGTGTCATATATCATTTTAAACAGGACAACCTGAAGTTTCAATCTGTATCATTTAAAGGTCCAGTCTAAAATATTTTTTGGTCCAAAAACATATGAACAGACAGAAAATATTCCAGAATTTTCCAGAAACGATTTTTTAAAAAAGTGGCATTTTCTAGTTATTTCAAACAAAACCTTATGAAGTTTGTTTTTCTTTCTTTAGAAATACATGCTATGATGTTTTATACTTCCAAAATAAATTTTGTCTACATCCACAATTCCCTGAACAAGTTATAGCAATTTATTTCAATGTTATTTCAAGGCGTTTTTCTATGGGGGAAAAAAATGCATTTATTTACTGACAATGTATTTGCCCAAAAGTTCTGGGAATGAACTAAACAGAAAAAAAATGTTACAAAATAATAGAACAGTGAAGCAAATTTGACTTTTTCCAAATAATATATTTTCAGTTACTATAAACAACACCACTTACAATGAACAAATAAAAAAATAAGAAAATAATAAATAATGTGTCAAAGTCCAAATAAACATGGTGCAAATCCTCAGTAAAAAAAATAGATATAAATATTTACTATACCATAAATAGTTACATAACGAAACTAGATTCAATATGGAACATCCTCAGGTTTTATGTGCCAGCATGGATATAGTTGTCTGTGGATATGGATTTGATTATGGTTGTCTGTGGATATGGATTTGGATATGGTTGTCTGCAATGCGGACAAACAGCTGCACCTTCATTTGTGTCTTTTGAAAACAGCAAGAGCAGCAGTTCGTCTTTGCTGTGTCACTGTTTTGTCATGTTTCTGTGCTGCTGTGCATGCAAAAGTACTTAGTATGAAAATTATTTCATGCAAAACATTTTTTTTGCGTTTTATTTAGCCGCGCATAAATGTATGCCTTTCTCTCATTCCGTGTTGTTCAAAAAGCTTGTTGGTACACAAACAAAAGTGAAACCTATGCTTATTGGTTGTGATATAGCGAGTTTGAACCAGTCTGGGCATGGAGGAGGGACAATGCATCAATGTATCATGTCTGGTTTGTCCGGAGACACAGTGACGAGCGTTTCTTTGTCAAATCAGCGTTGTCAAATTTTGATGACGTAACCGCACTGATTCCGGAGCCTCTGGAAGTCCGCGAATGATAAGCTGAGATTCTCTTCTTTATGCCAATCTTTGAATTGTATGAATCGGATCAGCGGATCAAAAGTTATTAAACATTTAAGAGCAATACTTATTTTAGCCGCGGGCGGCTGTCTCGGTCTTTAAGGGTTAAGTGATACTCTGATTCTTTTCAAACTCTGTATTATATTTAGGCATGGGACGATAACTGTGTTCAAGGTATACTGCGTTTTGGAAAAGTCACAATTTTTTATTTACATTTTTATTTTTTGAGAGCAGTATCTCCAGCAGAAAATATCTCCAAAGATGCCGTTTTTAAATAGTAAAGAAATCAGTGTTTTCGAAAGAAATGAAGACAGCAGAAGTCAATAATTCTTTTGAATAATTCAGCCTGACATGTTTACTGCTCTGAAATATCATACATGTTTCCCAAATTAAAATATAATGCTTTCAAAGGGGAAAAGGTTTAGTTTTTTACCCAGATATTTAAAAAGAATATATTTAAGATCAGTAATCTCACTATAGTGAAACCATGATATTTATATCCATCGTACTGTCAGAATCTTTTAACAGCCCATGCCTAATTCTATCATTATTATTCTTATTTCAGTCACTCTTACATCCAGATTATCCAGCTCCTGCAGGAAAGAGTTTTTACTGGGAGGACTTTCCTGATGTGTCATAATCTGTCCATCCCTAAAATCAAAAGACATTTATTAAAATCAGACGTCATTAATGCTGCAAATACAACATGCCAATATTCATAAACACAAATAAAATACAGATGCTCGCACCATGTAAAGGCGCTGTTTTCATTCTCGGTGTCATAAAGACTGCCTTCCTTCCTCAGCGTCTGAAGACTTCCTGCAGAAAACAATCACATCAGGGGGCTGTTCTTCGTACCTCGCTTAAATGATCTAAGATGATTTGGCAGATCCTGGATCTTTTAATCTTGATAACTGATCTCTCGCTAATTTGGTTCTTCAAACAAGTTCGCGAATCAGATTAGAATATCTGGATGAACTGATCTGAGATCGCTGCATTTGTTGTTAAGGACAGATCTATCGATCCTAGAAATCATGATCAGCAATGCAACGATTGGCTGACGGCACAGCAGCGTGATGACATCATCTGATTAATATTCAATTATCCATGTGAGCAAAATTACATCAAATTAGCAGTAAACGGCTTGATAAATATGACACGCAGTAACTTCACATTTGTTGTGAGCTGCAGGCTTTACACTTTCATTTGTCAAGACAAGAGTATTCATCATGTATTTCAATGCAAATCAATGTATTTAGTTCTTCATTTAGAAAAGATTTTCTTTATTATAGTAGCCGTTTTTTAATCGGTGTAAAGAATAACTGGATGTTTTCAAAAGCATTTTGATATTGGTAAAGGCGTCTGCAACTTTTGTGAAGCATCACTGGCATATTAACTGTCAAAACATGTTTATGACTGCATAAATGTATTATTGCTTTTAAAAAAAGTCACATATTGTGCATTTCTATTATACACAATTTGTACTAAAGCGATCTAAAAAGTTCATTTCAATAAGTTTTCTCTTTACACCACCAGGTGGCAGTCTTTGTATTTTCATTTTGAGGGTGCAGATTGCATACGTTTTATTAATATGTATAACTTTATTTATTTTATTAATGACTATAACTTTTATATATATAGTTTAAAAATATTTACTATTTTCCCAAGTGTATTTAACTTTTACTGTAAGAAAATATCAGAACTCGGTACATGCTTTCTGTATTATCTTTGCTTGAACTGAGCCGATCTAATCCTGTTTATGATTTGAACCTGCTCCCGATCAGGTTTGACCTAGCAGAACTGTTGCCATAACAACAAATCTCGGATCAGCTTTGAAGAACGAAACGATCCTGGATCGTGTCAAATCGTCAATATCCAAATCCAGCTAACTGAGTAATCCACGTACGAAGAACGGACCCCAGAACATTACACACAGCAATAACACACACTGCAGGGCTGAGCGATATTGGAAAAACCTGCTACTGCCATATTTTATTTTTCTGCAATAAATATAGTGACACGAATACAGTGTCTCCAGATATTAGACAATTTGTCTAACAGTATTCAGTAGAGAAAAATCTGATATTGTGATATTTAGTTATTTGCGATATAAACATTGAGATATAAATACAATGTCACCAGATGGTTTAAATAGCTCTATTTGGGGGAAAAAACATCACTTTATAGATTTTACAAAAAATAAAAAAAAGAGATGTGTTAGTTTACAAAAAAACTGTGTTTTCCCATGGCAAGGTTGACATTTGCATGGACTTGCTGCTCTACCTTTGAGGTCGATGGCGATGAGGCGAGGTGTGTATGTGACGTGCCCTGCCAGAGTCAGCCCTTCTCTGAACAACACGTCACTCTGCAGCTCGCCGGCCGGCACATCCGCATCATACACCAGACCCGCATCCTGACAGCAGACAGAACAAAACACACAGTCATATAACCAACAGTGAGCAGAGTGTATCATCAATATCACATACAGGAGTAACTGAAGGTCGCTGGTTCGAGTCCTGACTGGGTCAGTTGGTGTTTCTGTGAGGAGTTTGCATGTTCTCCCCGTGTTGGTGTGGGTTTCCTCCACAATCCAAACACATGCACATGATGAACTAAATTGGCCGTAGTGTATGGAATGAGTGTGTATGGGTGTTTCCCAGTACTGGGTTCCAGCTGGAAGGGCGTCCACTGTGTAAAACATATGCTGGAATAGTTGGCGGTTCATTCCACAGTGGCCACCTCTGATGAACAAAGGGACCAAGTCGAAGAAAAATAAATTCAATGAATGGAAACTATTGATCTCTACTGGTAATGTGTTTAGTTTTTTTGTCCTTCAATTGGTGACAGATTATTTTAATAAATGCCAGAAACATATTAAACATACTAAAATTCATTAATATGTACTAGATATAAACACTAACATTGATATAAGCTTAATATTAACGATAATTAATTGTGATTGGACACCATTAGAATATTTAGTGATGGTTTCTTATTAATATATTTGTTTTTTTAGTCAGCGCCAACGATATAACCATAAATAATGAATATGTAATCAATTTTACGCAGTTTGACACTGTCAGAAACTGCTGTGATGTTAGTAAAGTTAACAGTTTTACCATATTGTAGTGTTATCCATCATTACCGTAGTAAAATAAGAGCCTGGGGTTTCTATCTGATTGTACACACAGAATCTTAATGTTTTGGAGGCTGAATTAATTTTAATTAAACATATTAAAAGCCATTAATTTGTACTAGCTATAAACACTAACTAGTTATTAATATTAACACTGATATAAACTAGATATTAACTATAGATAACAGTATTTGGACTGTTTTGTTGTTTTTTTTCATCAGGATTGACTGTATAACCATAAATAATGAATATGTAATCAATTTTACGCAGTTTGACACTGTCAGAAACTGCGGTGATGTTAGTAAAGTTAACAGTTTTACCATATTGTAGTGTTATCCATCATTACCGTAGTAAAATAAGAGCCTGGGGTTTCTACCTGATTCAACACAAAGAAGCTTAATCCTTTGGAGGCTGAACTAATTTTAATTAAACATATTAAAAGACATTAATTTGTACTAGTTATAAACACTAACTAATTATCAACACTGATATAAACAAGATATTAACTATAGATAACAGTATTTGGACACCATTAGAATATTTAGTGATGTTTTCTTTTATCAGGGTTGACTATACAAGCATAAATAATGAATATTGATAGAGGCAAAGTTGGTTTTATAGTCGCACATTCGTCCATTTAGCAATATCTATATTGTTTACCAAGTGACTTTGAATATTTGACCTGAATTGGCATGAGAGAATGACTTAAAAACAACAGTAACACTGTCTAATTCAGTGAACAGTGTAAAAAAAGTATTGAACACATGAAGGAAGGGAGGTGTATTCGGCAGTGAAAGCCCAGACAGCAGCTGAAATCTCTTAGTAGTTCTTCAGCAAGCTTCTGCCCTTCCTCAGTGTAAATGAACATCAGCTGCTTCAGTTCAACATCTACATTAGCAGGAGGATGAAACCATTTCAGCAAGACAATGATCCTCTGTTGACTCTGTGCTGTACTTTAATAGCCATTTGCTGCTAATATGATTTCCCTATTTAGAATTTGCAAATAATACTTTCTGGAGTTATATTATTAAGGAGAATGTCTGAATATCCCAATATTAAACCCACTTTACCTGTATGAAATCTATTTTAAGCAGCTGGAAACTGTGGTAATGCTAGTTTTACTGTAGTGTTATCTATTATTACCGTGGTCAAATAAGAGCCTGGGTTTGTACCTGATTTAAAACATCTTCTGGAGGCTGAATTCATTTGTCCAGTCATATATTGTTGCTACACGGACACTATATTACACATTTATAACGAGTCTACTGCACATAAACAAACTCACCTGCAAATTCCACCAATGCGTCCCGATAAAGTTGGAATAATGCCCCAGCTGGAGAGTCACCACCTCCCTGCACGCACCACTCATGATGCTTTTCAGATATTAACTTATTTTAAAAATCATTTTGTCAGCTATGAAGCAGATATTTCTCGTGATGCGCTTGGAAAACACATTGCATCTACAGACGAACTGCTACTGATGGGCTTCCGCGTGTGTGCGCTCTCCCTCTGCTAATCCTCCACCGTGATTGGCTGTCATTGCACATATCGCGTAGTGATTGGATGAAAGAGACGTCGCTCATCCGCAGTGTAGTTTGGTTTCACTGCGCCAGACTCGCACACATGTGCAGCGCTAGTAAACAACACGAGCTGCCAGAATAGTAATCTCATCAAAATGTGATTAAGTGATTCGTTTACTGTTAATTAAACAACAAACACACATAAACAAATGTAGATGTGTGTTCAGCACTAAGGTGCTTTAGTTTAGTACAGGTAGAATGTAATATTTGCTAATATTTTAGTGCAGTGAATGGTGTTTCACAACTTTAAAGATCTCATTTTTACATACTCATCATTATGCATTTTATTGTACCTTTTTATATGCTTATGATTTATTTTTATTTATTTTAAACCCAGCGCGTGATCTTGTGGGCGTGACAGACAGTCACGTGACTCTGAGAAACTGTAACGATTTACCTGTGTATTGTCACACCTGTCCTGATCGAAACTGACACTCTCAAGTTCTCAATCTGACCGAATATCCTCAACACACACTACATTATTCTCCTCAGACGAGGCTCAGGTGAGAAACAACAGCATTTTACTCTCATACTCAGAGTTTTTGGATGATATCTGCGAGGATTCGGGCCAAAAAACCCGAGTTTAACAGAAAACCGTGTTTAAATCTGACATTAGCGCGAGTTTAGGACTGTGTTTGTTATAAATGAAGCCTCCCGCTGGAGTAAAGTGAACTGAAGGTGTGTTTATCTGTGTATTGTGCTGATTTCTGCTGTGTTTGTGTGTTTTCTGGCACAGAGGCGATCAGGTTTAACAGGTGTGACTACACACACACACACACACAAACACACACACACAAACACACACACTACTTAACTATGATAATGTTTACACAAGAGTGAATCAGAGTAGCTTACAGAGAAGTATTGTGTGTGTTTGTGTGGTATCTGGTGTTTTTGACTACACACACACACACACACACACACACACACACACTAATACTAAAAACATGAAAAATATAGTAATAAAGTAATTATTTTAATATTATTCACACACACATGACTAACGTCTGAGTTAATCTGTCCACTGAGAAGTATTGTGAATACCTGTTGTCCACACACACACACACACACACACACACACACACACACACACACACACACTACTTATTTTACCTTTATTAAAATAATTAATAATTTCCTGTTCAAATGTTTAGTTTTTACATGGCATGTTTGCTTTAATGGCGACACGGTGGCTCAGGGGTTAGCACTGTGGCCTCACAGCACTCAGGTCTCTGGTTTGAGTCTCGGCTGGGTCAGTTGGTGTTTCTGTGTGGAGTTTGCATGTTCTCCCCGTGTTGGCGTGGGTTTCCTCCGGGTGCTCCGGTTTCCCCCACAGTCCAAACACATGCGCTATAGGGGAACTGATCAACTAAATTAGCCATAGTGTAAGAGTGTGTATGGGTGTTTCCCAGTACTGGGTTGCAGCTGGAAGGGCAACATATTTTTGGACCCCTGATTAATAAAGGGACTAAGCTGAGGGAAAATGAATATTTGCTTTTATCCAAGTGTTTGCCTCTGATCCGTTCACACATAACCTGAGATTCACACCCAGAACTTTAGTACTGCAACTCAGAAAGGCTTCAGTTTGCTGAATTAAGCCTTAAATTCATTTTATAACTTAAATCAGGTGAAACAACAACAACAATTGCTGGTTATAATTGAATATTTTACCCCTTGTTGCATTTGCAGGACCCCTGTGGTGTAAACAAACCCAGAAGAACTGAAGTGCAGACATGATTCCAGACTGATGAATGTAAATAAGTGTAAATAAATGAAGAGCAAGATGGCGGAGGTGCTGATCCCTGAGGATGAAGCAGCACAGGAGAAAACACCTGCAGACGCCACTGATCCGAGATCAGCAGGAGAGGAGAACACACTGCAGGAGTGCACAGAGGAGACGCAACACACAGCAGACACAGGTGACCTTACTCTGTTACAACACACACACACACACACACACACACTGACAGAAGTATCAGAATAAGAATGTGTACACATGCTGAACTCCTCTGACTCTGCAGCAGCAGGAGACTCACTGACTGATGAAGATGAAGATGATGATGATGATGAAGATCAGCAGGACTCCTGGAGTCCAGAGAAAGCAGCTCAAGCGTTCATTGCCAACGTGACCATCGTCCAGCCACACACACACACACAAACACACGTCCAGAAAGAGGAGGAGATGCATCAGTATGAGCAGAAGATACACACACACACGCAAACACACAGTCCTCAACACACACACACTCCGCCGCTCTGGATGAAGGAGATCCTGAAAGATGAAGGTAAAACACACACACATACAGTCTCATGCACACACACACACTCATATTCACACACACAGAAAAACACACTCACACATGTACAAATATATACACGCACACACACACACACACACACACACACACACACACACACACACACACACTCTCTCTCTCTCTCTCTAATACTCACAGAAACAGACACACACTCAGATAACCACACACTCACAGAAATGCACTCAGATGCACACACACAAACACACTCAGATAAACACACATGCACACAATCACAGAAACACACACTAACAGAAACACACACACACACTTTCTTTTATACACACACTTACACAACACTACTGAACATACGCACACATTTTGTACACAAACACAAACACGCTCAGATAAACACACATGCACACAATCACAGAAACACACACTAACAGAAACACACACTTTTTTATACACACACTTACACAAAACACTACCAGACATATGCACACATTTTATACACACACACACACACACACACACAGACAGAAACGCACTCAGAAAAACACACACACTCAGATAAACGCACACACAAAAATACACTTAATCACAGAAAAACACACTTGCACTCATACACTTACAGAAACACACACGCACTCACAGAAACACACACTAACAGAAACACACACACACATCTCAAATGTTTTGCTAAATGAATGATGAAACTGTGAGTTTGACACTGATATATATCTATATATATGTGTGTGTGTGTGTGTGTGTGTGTGTGTGTGTGTGTGTGTGTGTGTGTGTGTGTGTGTGTGTGTGTGTGTGTGTGTGTGTGCGCGTGCGCGCGCGTGTGTCAGTGAGCTACAGTGTGCAGGTGATGCGTCTGTGTGTGTGTGTCGCCACGGCTGCAGTGATTTTCCCTTTATTGACGTGGGCTGGCTTTAAGCTCCTCCCCTTTGAAGCTCCTCCCCTTGAAAGCTCCGCCCTCCGGCTGGTCTACACTCTGAGGTGTGCTTTCTTCGCCACCATTCCCATCATCCTGGGTGAGGACACACACATACACCCTTATACACACACACACTTATTCTTATTCACGTATAAACACACACACACACACTTTTACATCAAACACTACACTGCACATACACACACATTTTATATACCCACACTTGTGCACAAACACGCACACACTTTTTAGTCCAGCACTGATCAGCGGTGTGTGTGTGTGTGTTTCAGGTGTGTTGGCTGAGGGTGTGTCTCGGCTCAGGTTCAGGAGTCTGCAGCCGGTGTGTGTGGATGCGCTGCAGAAGCGTGAGGTGTGTGTTCACCGTCATTACGTGCGCGAGTCGCTGCAGCTCTTCCTGCTCTACTTCCTGCAGCTGAGCGTCATGGCAACATACACACACCAGCAGACGCTGCGACTCGTGCCGCTGCTCACCGTCATCTTCGTCTTCGGCAGGTGTGTGACATTCATAACACACACACACGCACACACACACGTTTACTCAAAAATGACACACTATGCACTCTTTACACACACTCTTATAGGCACATTCACACATGCACTCTATACACATGCGCGCACACACACACAAACAAACACACACGCACAACACAATATGCACTTTATAAGCACACACACACACACACAATATGCACTCTATACACATGCACACACACTCTTATAAGCGCACACACACACATACAATATGCACTCTATACACATGCACACACACTCTTATAAGCGCACACACACACACACACAATATGCACTCTATACACATGCACACACCTTCTTATAAGCGCACACACACACACAATATGCACTCTATACACATGCACACACACTCTTATAAACACACACACACACACACAATATGCACTCTATACACATGCACACACACTCTTATAAACACACACACACACACACACAATATGCACTCTATACACATGCACACACACTCTTATAAACACACACACACACACACAATATGCACTCTATACACATGCACAAACTTTTACGCACATACACAACATAATATGCATTCTATACACACACACACACACAAAATATGCACTTTATACACATGCACACACTCTTATACGCACACAGACACGCGCGCACACACACACACACATACACACAAAAAAATGCGCTTTATATGCACACACACACACACACACACACAAAACATGCACTCTACATGTGGGCGTACGTACACACACACAATATGCACTCTATACACAAATGCACACACTCTTATACGTGCACAGACACGCACACACAAAATGTACTCTATATGCACACACACACACACACACACACACACACACACACACACACACACACACCATGCACTCCACATGTGGGTGTACACACACACACACACACACACACACAATGCACTCTATATAAACACACACACACACACACACACACAACATGCACTCTACATGTGGGTGTACGTACACACACACACACACACACACACACACACACAATGCACTCTATATAAACACACACATATACACACACACACACACACACACAACATGCACTCTACATGTGGGCGTACGTGCACACACACACACACCATTTACCAACACACAAAACACAATATGCAGTCTACACACACACACACACAGAACTATGCACTTTATAAACACAGACACACACATTCTTATACACACACACTATATGCACTCTATACATACACAAACACACACACTCCAGACACAATACACAAATTATACACACTCACACTTAAACTGTTGCACACACAGGCACAAAAGAAGACTTTTTCGATCATTTTACTGAGTGTGTGTGTGTGTGTGTGTGTGTGTGTGTGTGTCAGGCTGATCTACTGGGTGTGTGTGGCGTTCGGCAGCAGTGTTCGTGCTCTGGGGTTCTCTCTCTCCTTCCTGCCGTTGCTCGTCCTGCTGGGAGCAAACCTGTATTTCATTGGCTCAGGGATCGGAAAGGAGGCGGTGTTTGATGTGGCTCCGCCCACCACAGCCCCGCCCCCGAAACAGAGATGGTGGGGCTGAAGATCAGATGATGATACTCTGAACACTCAGATCCTTTATCTAATAACAGACACTGCTGGGTTTAATACAGACGCCACACTATGAAGACTGAAACAACTGCACTGAGAATATATCACTCCACACATGAAGGAAAACACTGATTTTAACTATGAGGAACGCTTAATTATTCGATTATTAGGGCTGTTAAACGATTAATCGCATATGAAATGAGTTTGTTTACATCATATGTAGTGTTTACTGTGTGCATTTATCAATATAAATACACATATGCATGTATATGCTGTATAATAGCCATGTATAGAACAGGTTTATTTACATGATGTACTGTTTAAATCATAGGTAAATACGTTTATATACATGTATGGAATATGTTTATATTCATGACTGATTTGCATAATATAAATATGTTAATATTTTAAGTATATGCATGTATTTGTGTGTATTTATATACACAGTAGATGATTATATTATGTTAACTCAAACCCTGAACTTGAATATTTACTTATATTTAAACTGAAGCCATAATTAAGCGTGTTTGTTTACATTAAATAAATAAGCATTAACAACATAAAAGCTTCATAAAACACTATAAAATTCCTAGAAACAATACAAATATGATAAAAAATACTAATAAAAAATACAATAAAACTATTTTAAGCATCAAGTTGCCAAGGAATTACTTGTTTTAATTTTGTTTATGTACTAAAACACCAAATAAACTATATTTAATATTTGAATAATCTTAATTATGTTTTGCATTAATTCATATCAACATTTTAATCCCAAATTCTTCTTATATCTTAGAGAATGATGAGCTCATTACTGCTTTATTTTAGATTGTTTTCATGCAAAACTGAATTATATTTTAATTCTATATTTGTTCAGACTCGCTGTTGGATAATATCTGTATTTTCTTGTTTAGTTTTACAGTATTCTGACGTTGAATGTTTCAGACATGCAATTATCATCAATATTACACCGTTATATGGTACATATTATATTAATATTTTATATCATCATGTCTGTATACAGTATATATATATAAAACTTCTGAATGTGTTTCTGAATAGAGGCTTCATGTTTGATTTGCATATTATAAATATGTTAATATTTAAAGTATATGCATGTATTTATGTGTATTTATAAACACAGTAGATGATTATATTATGTAAACACAAACCCTGAATTTGAATATTTACTTTTAATATTTACTTTTTGAAGCCGTAAGTAAGCATGTTTGTTTACATTAAATAAATAAGCAGTAAAAGCTACATAAAACAATACAAAATAGATATAAATATAAAAATAATACAATAATACTACATAATAACAATTTTGATCATCAAGTTCCAGAGGAAATACTTATTTACTTTTTTAAGTTTTATGTACTAAAACACCAAATAAATTATATTTAATATTTGAACAATCTTAATTATGTTTTGCATTATTTCATATCAACATTTTCATCCCAAATTATTCTTAAATTTTTGACAATGATGAGCTCATTACTGCTTTATTTTAGGTTGCTATCATGCAAAACTTAATTTTATAATAATTCTATATTTACTTAGATGAACTTCTAGATAATATCTGTATTTTCTTGTTTAGTTTTACAGTATTCTGATGTTGAATGTTTCAGACATGCAATAATCATCAATATTATACAGTTCTATGGTACATATTAATATTTAATATCATAATGTCTGTGTATATATAACGTCTGAATGTGTTTCTGAATAAATGTTTGATTTTCATAATATTAAAATGCTCATATTTTAAAGTATATGCATGTGTTTGGTGTATTTACATACACGGTGGATGATTATATTATGTAAACACAAACCCTGAACTTGAATATTTACTTATATTTAAACTGAAGCCATAATTAAGCGTGTTTGTTTACATTAAATAAATGAGCATTAGTGTTTAGTGTTTGATTCACATTCATTCATTCATTTTCCTTCAGCTTAGTCTCTTTATTCATCAGTGGTTGCCAAGGCGGAATGAACCGCCAACTATTCTAGCATATGTTTTACACAGCGAATTCCCTTTCAGCTGCAACCTAGTTCCGGGAAACACCCATACACTCTCATTTACACACACACTCGTACACACCACTAAGCCACCGTGTCGCCTCGTTTGATTTACAGTGAACACAGAATCAATCAGAGAGTTCGTTCATTTATATAGAGGGAAAACGTTACAGCAGCGTGTCAGAAATCCATATTTACATGTCTATAAGTGCTGGAGACGATAACAAACACACATTTTAGAGTGGTTTTCTTTATAAACAGGGTGCAAATGAAATGTTTACAAAATAAATCCCTGAGAAGTGCACTTGGTCATTAAATTAGCAAAACATTTGCATTCATTTCAATATCAAAGAGGAAATCAAGTTTAAAGGATTTAAAATTGGCCTGATATCTGATTTGCATGTCTGAGAAATGATGTAAAAACAAAACAATATTAATTTGCATATTCATCCTGTGATCCAATAGCCAATCAGTATAAAAATTCATTATGTAACGATCAAAAAGGCATCAGTAACTTGTGTGTGTGTGTTCGTTTTAATTGTCCAATCAGGAGTCAGCAGCCTCGTCGCTGATTGGCAGTGTGTGCGTGGGTGGGCAGGGCTTGTACCATGTGGCCTCAGTTGATTGGCTCGTATGCTGTTGACTGGGACGTCCTCTTGCGGACACAAACAAAGACTCCGCCCAGTATGATGAACACCAGCGGAGTGACCAGACCAACCGTGATGATGATGATGATTAATGGGGAGAACGAGTCTGATGGAGGATCACCCAAACCCATTAAAACCGTCCTGCGGAGGAGAGAAAACCTTTCATATTTAGTATCTCTTCATTTCAGGTGTGTCTGTTTAATGTTTAGAGTCTCTGGAAGTCAATTGTTAGTTTGAGGCTTTCAATTGTTTGTGTTTTTCAATTCAACCAATCATGTTACTTTGGGGTGGGGCTATCTGACCAATGAGAGACAAGAGAGTTCAGGAATGGTAAACATTCAGTATTAAAGCAGTAGTGTTTAAACCTGAATAAAAAACTGCTAAAATAGCTGTAGATCAATATAAAAAAAATATAAATATAAATAATGATAATATGGAATATACTTTTAATTTAATATATGAGCTACAAGACAACATTAGTAGACATTTTAAATATACAGTACAAATGATTTTCATAGCATAAATGAAAAAAATCTAAGCAATAATGTTTATTATTATTAATATTATTTTTATAACATAAAAATATATTTAAATGTTTTTAAAATATCCAGTTGCAAATATAACAGTAATATATACGCAATTATTTTTTCAATCAAATGTTATTTAAAAATATTTTTTTAAATCTTACTTTTGAGACAAAATGTATGTATGTGTGTATGTATGTGAGTGTGTGTGTGTCTTGATTTAACCAATCATGTTACTTTTGAGTGGGAACCGTAAACAGTCAGCACTCAGTATTAAAGAGGTATTTTTACTTGAATATCAACAGATAAAAACAGTACTTAAAGTTAATTCATGAATACATTAATAGTTATTTAGAATATAAAGTACATTTAATTTTTAAAGCATGATAGGAAAAAATATTTATTATTTTTTATTTTGTATTACATCGTATGTTTTATAATTATTTTAATTATTTTTAAAATCTTTTTGTAACATTTAACCAAATAAAAAGTGTTTTAAAATACCCCATTACAAATATAGCAGTAATATATATGCAATTAATTTGAACTTTCATCATCTAAATAAAATTACACTTTAAATATTGCTAAAAATATCACAATTAATGTATTATATGTGTATTAAATGTATAAAATAATGTGATTAATATAACACATTTTATTATTCACATTACTATATATATGTAATTTTTTATTGGCACGTGTGAGATGAAAGTAAATAATAAACCAAAATGTAATAATTATTTAATAATTATGTAACAACACAGTAATGTGGCCAGAAAAATTGTCTAAAACATTTATAGAATTTATTTTTAAATAATGTTTAACATTACTAAATCAGCTTACACTTTCTATTTTAACCAATTTTAGGCATTTAATAAGGCAGAAATAGCTCTTTTAAGTAATTATTCCAGTTTACCACATTTATCCCTCAAAGCATTGTTTTAAGTCTCTGAAATTTAATTATTAAAGTATTTAACCTTAAATAATTCTCTTTGCCAATTATTTCCCAGATGATGTTGAACAGATTCAGGAAATCTTCACAGTATTTCCTCTAATATTATTTCTTCTGGAGAAAGTCTGATTTGTTTTATTTGGGCTAGAATAAAAGCAGTTTTTAATTGTTTTAAAGTCATTTTAAGCTCAATATTATTGGCCCCTTCAGCAATATTAGTGTTGAATTGTCTCCAGAACAAACCACTGTTATACAATGACTTGCCTAATTACCCTAACTTTACCCTAATTACCATAGTGAAGCCTTTACATGTCACTGTAAGCTGAACACTAGTGTCTTGAAGAATATCCAGTCTAATATTATGTGCTGTCATCATGATGATGAGAAAATAAATCAGTTATTAGAGATGAGTTATTAACACTGTTATGATTGGAGATGTGCTGGGAAAATCTCTCCGTTAAACAGAAAATGAGAGTAAAATAATTCAGGAGGGCGCTCTCACTAAATAACTCAGTCTTGAACTGTAAGATGAATCTCTCACCAGCTGATGTATTTGGTGGCGTCGTAGAACACGGGGTCTTCAGCGAGGCCGAAGCTGATGTTGAGGCCGTAGATCCGAGTGTTGTGTGTGAAATAAGCCTGAATCACAGCAGATGGAGGTGTGCCGTTCACAAACACCAGCTCTGAGTGTCTGCAGGCGGTGGCGTCCTCGAACACGGGACGAGCTTTACGGTACGCCACCGGCTTCCACTGACTGAAACCCCACACACTGCTGGAGTTTACAGGAGACGACACCCACTCCGACACCTGCACACACACACACACACAGAGAAAGAGAGATCAGGCTTTCTTAAATATAGCATAAAGTACATCCAGGAGGTTGTTATCACAGATTATTTCATGGCTGTGTGCAATACTTGTTCCTGATTGGTCAGTCTCAAGATTTCAAGGTATGTTATTCCCAGATAACAACATCTGAATAACACACACTCATCCGTGAACTGAGAAACAGCGTCAGTGAATGTGTTCATCCATATCCTTACATCCACATTCATATATATATATATCTGTTCATGTTACGTTGTGCTTTATGACCATGTGGCGCCATCTAGTGTCTGAATAATGCGCAGGTTAGTGTATACTCCATCTGCTGTTTGTGTTTTTGACTGTTTGGCGCCATCTAGTGTCTGAATAATGCACAGGTTAGTGTATACTCCATCAGCTGTTTGTGTTTTTGACTGTTTGTCTCCATCTAGTGTCTGAATAATCCGCAGGTTAGTGTATACTCCATCAGCTGTTTGTGTTTTTGACTGTTTGTCTCCATCTAGTGTCTGAATAATGCACAGGTTAGTGTATACTCCATCAGCTGTTTGTGTTTTTGACTGTTTGGCGCCATCTAGTGTCTGAATAATGCGCAGGTTAGTGTATGCTCCATCAGCTGTTTGTGTTTTTGACTGTTTGTCTCCATCTAGTGTCTGAATAATGCGCAGGTTAGTGTATACTCCATCAGCTGTTTGTGTTTTTGACTGTTTGTCTCCATCTAGTGTCTGAATAATCTGCAGGTTAGTGTATACTCCATCAGCTGTTTGTGTTTTTGACTGTTTGTCTCCATCTAGTGTCTGAATAATGCACAGGTTAGTGTATACTCCATCAGCTGTTTGTGTTTTTGACTGTTTGGCGCCATCTAGTGTCTGAATAATGCGCAGGTTAGTGTATACTCCATCAGCCGTTTGTGTTTTTGACTGTCTCCATCTAGTGTCTGAATAATGCACAGGTTAGTGTATACTCCATCAGCTGTTTGTGTTTTTGACTGTTTGGCGCCATCTAGTGTCTGAATAATGCGCAGGTTAGTGTATACTCCATCAGCTGTTTTAGTTTCTGTTTAGCTTTTAATTAAAGAACTAATAAACTATTATTGGGAGAGTTTTAATTCTATAGAGTTAGAATTAAAATAAAACAGTATTAAAACATATTTGTAAAACATAATTCTTCTGCTTCTCTAAATTGATTTAAACGGAACTGTTGAATTTATTTACAGTATTTAAGGCAAGTACATGATAATAAACTGTAATTAAATGACCTGAAATGATAAAAGTAGTGCCTTTCATCCTTATTTTAAGCATAAGAGTTAATTATGTAAACATTTACACCCGCCTGTGTATAGAAGTACTGCTAGATTGTATGTTTTTTTTCTGGAATTGAATATAATAAGTGTTGAATATTCCCAGCGGATTCGTTTACCGTGGTTTTCTGCGATTACCTTAAATATGGAGGGTGTGTACTCGTCGTCTATGGAGCTGCGCATGTCCACTCGGCTCTGGAACCCAGCGTCTCCAACAGACTGAAACTCCAGAATGAATCTAGAGTTATTTCCTCGCGGCGTCACTCCGTTTATCCACACGCGGAGCTGCGAGGAGTTGGCGTTATGAAGGAGACTCGGCCAGGCTTCATCACGACCCTGAGACTCAAACACCGACACCTGAAACATACACACACACACACTTTTATATCCACCTATTAGAGCTGCACAATATTGGAAGAATCTGATATTGCCATATTTTACTGCAATAAATATTGTGATATGTTTCGCCAGATGCTTGGAATAGCTCTATCTGATTGGTGTCTGGTGAGTCGTACAGTGTTTAGGCATAGAAATTGAATAATCACAATGCAAATTACTTAGGGTTGTCTCGTTTCTAGTATTCCTAGTCGAAATAATAAGTCAAAACTGTGATTTTTAAAAAAGACTAGTGGCAAAAACTATATATATATATATATATATATATATATATATATATATATATATATATATATATATAAGCTATAAAATAAGCTATAAAATATATATAAAAATACCTGTGCATGTGTGTACATGTCCACAGTGTGGTGTTTGCGGCTGCAGTTCCTCTCACCTGCAGACAGAGGGAGCCGTTGCTGAAGCTCTGGGTTTTCTCTCCTCCGCACAGCACCACTGTGTGCTCCGACTGGTTAAGGGTGGTGTTCAGCTCAGACCAGACGAAGTTCTGCAGCTCGTATGGAGGATAAAAGCTGGACTCTGCTGCTTTCTGTGGGTCTGCGGTGTTATTGACATCATCATATTCCCACAGCTGAAAGAGACAGACCACAGGGTTCAGTGTTCATATTTTATACTCATCAGTGTTTTAAAAACTCAATGGCAAAGATAGATTATACTTATGAGACAGACCACACTATCTGACTATTAATGATCGCAGTATTTGTTTACGTATTATTCCTTTATACCAAAGGTCTCAAACTGGATTCCTGGAGGGCCGCAGCTCGGCACTGTTTTGCTTAAACCCTAATCAAACACAGCTGATCAACTAATCAAGGGCTGTTTCTCAATATGCATTCTTCAGGGATCCGGTGTCCTCGCGTAACGTCATCATCAACTGACAAAGTTCAGTTCCAAAACTCAAGACTGCAAGAACGGAGGACGTGTGAAAGTTACCGAATGTGTTCTTGATATCGAGGAATCACCGATGCAGACTTGAGCACAAAACTCACTCGAAGAGTCCCAGAAGTCATTGTGGATGAATAAATTGTGGATGACTATATATATATATATATATATATATATATATATGTTAAAACTTATTATAGTATTATAGTTATTATTATTATTTTATTATAGTTATATTAAAGGTATTATTAGACATCAAATCCTAAAAAATATTTTTTTTCCCGTTTACACAACGATTGTTTTTGGTCTTAAAATTAACAGAATAAAGGTAGTCAGTCTGTCTTGAATCCAATTTCCAATCTGTGTTTTTTTTTGTCTTATCCTGAATCACTCCAGTGAGCCAATAATACATGTTTATATAAGGGCAGGGGTGTCCAAACTTGGACCTTGGAGCAGATTTTTGCTCCAACTTGCCTCAACTCACCTGCAAGGATGTTTCTAGAAAGCCTAGTAAGTAAGAACTTGATTAGCTAGCCCAGGTGTGTCTGATTGGGGTCTGAAACTAAACATTGCAGGACACCGGCCCAACAGGATCAAGTTTGGACGCCCCTGTATTAGGGACTAGTGTACATTTTTACACTTGCTCACTGACTTACTCAACACTAGTGCACTGCAGTACTGTAGCACACGTTTATATTAGTGACTATTGTACATATTTAGGTCATGTCCACACAGACACGGGTATTTTTATAAACAGTTTTCCCCGCTTTTATAAAAAAAAAAACTCTGTCCAAATGTAAACGCTTAAACGCACTGTGATGCATCTTCAGCACACTCCAAACCAACAGGGGGCGATTATGACACTTAATAATGGGTTCGCACCAAACAGGGAATTACGTTTTTTCACAAATAAATTGCATAGAAATCAATGCATAAGCGAGAACTGCTATTGGGATTACAGTACTGTGGCTGAACTATGCAAATTATGGGATGCATTTGCAGCAAATGTGCAGAATTTTGCCTCATTTGCATCTTCCATGTTTGGTGTGAACCCAGCTGTGTCAACCAATCAGAAAGGAGAAAACAGAACAAGTTGACATCATGAGGAGAAAACTCCAACTGTTTCATCACCATTACCACACACTCTACCCAGAGTTATGGGCAATCTTCACCCTGGCTGGAGTTTTCAGAAAGCATCAGTTTCGGTCACCTTTCGTTTTCATGAGGACAAACTGTGTAAAAAAAAAAGTGTGAGTTTGAAAATACCCGTGTTCGTGTGAACACTAGTGCGCTGTCATACTATAATACATAATTACATTAGTGACTAGTGTGTATTTTCACACTCACTCACCCGTGTGAACACCAGTGCGCTGCTGTACGTGACGCTGCTCTCCGGCTCCACCCTCAGGCTGCCTGCTGAACTGCTGTTGATGAACTCCGGCCAGTCCACCGTCACTGCAGAGCGAGTGCTGTTACTGTGCACCAGCAGCAGCGCTGGGGCTCCAGCGTTACACAGCACGAAGTGAAGCGTGTCGTTGTCCCCCAGACCCCGCAGGTGAACCAGACCCACCCCAGGAGGAAGAGAAAGAGGAGGCGCAAGACCAGGATTCAGCTCCACAGACACCTACAGAAAACCACATATTACACTGACTGAATTATAGAAACTACAGTCAGGATCAGCTCTAAATACACCTTAAAAACACTAAATATACTGATATAGTCTGATTTCTGTAAATTCAATCAATAATTTATATATATTGAGCACATGTAAAGGTTTCTAAATTTAATTTTTAACATGGTAAAAAGTGTATACTCATAAATATCCTCATTAATATGTGATCACTTTATATGTGTGTATTTATGTGTGTATTTATATAGCGCATTTATTGTGTATGACCATACACCCAAAGCGCTTCACAATCATGAGGGGGGGTCTCTCCACACCACCACCAGTGTGCAGCATCCACTTGGATGATGCGACGGCTGCCACAGGACAACGGCGCCAGTGCGCTCACCACACACCAGCTATTGGTGGAGTAGAGGGACAGTGATAGAGCCAATTCGGTAGAGAGGGGATGATTGGGAGGCCATGATGTTAAGGGCCGATAGAGGGACATTCAGAACTTTAGAATGTTTGATTAGAAAAATATACAATAAATGTTAATATATAATAATTGAAATAAAAACCAACATAAACATTAAAAATATCACTAAAAGAAATTTAAAAATGTAAACATTGTAGTTTCTTTTAAGATGGCAGCTCTCATAACGCTCTCTGCATTTCCATAATGATGTGTATATGAAGAGTTCATATGCAAAAACCTCCAAATTACGCCTGAAAATTTCTTCTATGGGCATTTGTCACAAGCTCCTGTGTGTTTGTTCAGCAAATCGACTATTGTGGCAAAAATAGGTTATTTGCATTGCCTTTAAAGTGAACAAACTGAACAAAAATATTGGAGGCTGAGGGGAAAAAGCTCATTCTAGGAGACAATTTCAGATGGCACTCAGGTTTTTGCATCTGAACTCTTCATATATATATAATATAAATGTAATATTAATGATGAAAATGAATATAATATAAAAATATAAATGATGATTGTGTGTATAGCGTAAACAATGTATTTTGCAACAACACAAAATGAATAGAGCATAAAACTAAACTGTCCTCATGAAATAAAAAATGTATACAGTCAAATTCAATAAATAGTGTATAATACTTAATATACCTTTATATTAAATGTATTAAACATTAAGTGTACTCTGACCCTTCTCAGCCTGGAATATAACAGTATACAGAAGTATTCACTCTCTGAGCAACAAAGAAACTAGCAAATAAAGTTAAATACCACTCGAGAAGTGCTTGTAGTTTCGCATTGAATTGTAAATGTGGCCATTTAAGTTAACTATTTACAATACAGAACTAAATTTACATTGCAAAGATAGCACAGTAGTGATTCTGACAGGCTTCTTTTTTTAAATACATGATTTTTAACATGTAAACTGCTTTGGTATATGCAGAGAACATGCATAAAGTGAATAAATAAATAAAAGTTTTGATAAAATAAAATTGAAAGGCCCTCTTAATGTATAAAAAATATATTACAATAATAAGTTGAACATAATTTAGCATCTTAACGTAATTATGTGTTTTCCAGAGGCTTTGCATTGTAGAGGCTTAAAAGTCTTTAAACATGTTCAGTAAATTGACTAAAGATGCATCTTTTGCCACTCAAGTGTCTAAAACCTACACTTAAACATTGTGTTCTTTTCGATAAAACTGTTGTTCTGTGTCATATCCTTCCTCTTTTCCTGAGTTAGATTTCTTCGATTGTCTGAATTGAGCCGAGAGTTTTGCCTGGTCCTCTAATCCAAACACATTCTATTCTATCATTTACAGAAATGAAAATAATAAAGCTTGCTGACTTTATAACACAGTCTTTTACCTGTTCTCTATTCTGTCAACTGCACATGTTATTTTTTGTTGCTTTTAGCATTTTTATCATCTTCATTTGTGAGTCTCAAGTCTCTGACAGTGATTAAATGTACATATAACAGCAATATAATATCTTCGATCTATTTATTATATTAGTTTTCACTGTATAGATTGGTTCTCTAGCTCTGTAGATTCCTTTCAGCTATTATTACATATCTGTAATGTTCGTGGGTCTGTGGCATACCAAACTGTTCAAATCTCAGCTTTAAACAGCTTAGAATAGCATGTAAACACTGTGGTATATAATTATTACCATAAATATTATGGTATTATTTTCACTGTAGATGCTTCTGTAAGGGTTGAGCTTCAGTATACTGAAATACTGTATAATTATTATCATGTATAATAGTTTAGACATGACTAGTAGATATACAAAACGTCTAATAAATCAATCACTGGATTACAAACAAAACAGACTGTTTATTCGTCGTAACTTTAACTGTTTTGTAAGTGTTTACAGCTTTTTGAATGTTATTTAGTGCAGTTCGGGTGTAAAGTCTGTTTCGCTGATGTGTATTATTATCATTATTTGATGTATTATGGTTGATATTGTGTTTATTATGGTTTATAAGGCTCACCTTCCGTCGAAAAGCATCACCTCTTCCCAGAAATCCCCGCGCAGCTCCAAACACAACCAGCAACAGCGAGCAGATTAAACTCACTTTAAACATCGACATCTTTTAAACTCTGGACACAAAAGCGGAATGAATAAGTGTCATTTCTGCTGTTGTGTTGTAGTTTCACACTCATCCGTCATGTGATCCTTCAGAACTAATGGCTGCTCTGAAGTCACGGCAAAACTGCGCATGCGCAGTAATTCATGTGGGACTCGGATTAAAACTCTCAGAAAGAAGTCTAGTCTTGTCTTCACACAAGGGTTGAGAAGATCCTGCTATCCGGGTTGGAAATATTCAGTTTAAAACGGCATGGGCCATTTGTTTATATTACTATGGTTGTTGTGTTGGCAACTACGGCATTACTACAAAATATTAATGCATATAAATATTCAAGCATTCAAAGACTTGACTATAGTATTTTTTATGTGAGTTGTTTTAGTAAATTTTCAGATCACTCGATTTGTTCGACTGTAATAATGTCAATAACTCGTTTTCCGACTCGAGTCCTGGCCCTACACATGTCCCAATTTTTGCATTTAATCCAGCAGTGAAAACACACACACACAGACACACAGACACACACACACACACACACACACACACACACACACACACACACACACACACTGCAGTGAATACACTCTAAAATGCTGAAAATGAACATTGGTGTAAATCACACAGAGAAGAAAACAATGAAGAAGAAAAGAACAGAATTGAAATTAAGGATTTAAATATTTTACATACAGATCCCAGCTATGTAGCTAAATTAATCGCATATAGGTTAAATTAGACTGCAAATTAATGTCTGCAAAGTGAAATTACCATTGTTTAGGCCAGGAAATAACTGGACTGTGGGGCACCTGTACAAGTAGGCTTGCCAAGAAATATGCAAAGCTAGTTGACTTTAAGCCACATTCCTTTAAGGAACAAACTAGTTTACTTGGACTTAACACTGCTCGCTCAGTTTCTATTTCGTCATTACCAATTCATGGAATCTTGATGCCCAGAAGACAACCTGCCATGTAAGTTTTCACATTTTTAAATAACTTTTTGTTCTTATAACTGCTTTCAGTTTTATTTAGGTATAATTATGGTACACTTTTAGCCTATATTTTGTATTATTTAAGTATACTTACATTTATTACTCCACCTGATTGGTAGAACGGAAATCATTTTATTGTGTTTGTCCAAAGTAATTTATTAATAGATCTAAATTATTTGACTCTTCTTATTGGTTTAACAGTGTTTACTAAAATGCAATTGACAGTGTTAGGCTATGTTACACCACCTAGGAAGAACATTAATTAAATTAATCTATATATCTTAATTATTAAATGTATAAATTAATGCATTTCAACAGGTTCAAATGGTTGAATCTGCTGCTGCTTCTGCTGCCGCTGTTGATGTGTCTTGTCAGCCAAAGCGGTTAGTATAATTTAAGTTATATGTTTGTATATAACTTATAATATATATAAGTTATATACAAATAATCAAATAAATCATATTATGCTGTCTTTGTTTGCAGAAATCACCATTATATCTGTGTCAGGGAAAAGAGGAGGCAGGGTCACCCTGAAATGTGATGTGGTGGACAGTAAGATTTCTATTAGTTTCGAGAGATCGTCCAAAAACATCCCTCTCTGTCAGAATGAAGAATGTGAGGGTGAACGTGGGCGCGTTTTTAAAAGAGGATCATGTGATATTATCATCAAAGATCTGAGCTTCAGTGACGCTGGAAGATACTCTTTACATGTCTATTACAAGAATATTCAAGGAGAACTGGAAGGACAAGTCAGAACTTACCAACTTCATATACAAGGTAAAATCAAGGTCAAAAGTCACTGATCAACATGTGTTTCTAGCCTAGCAATTGTCTTGATATTTCATGCTGGATTCAAAACAACATCAACACTGAATTAAGCATTCGAAATGCCACGTGCTAGAGACATCTGCTGGACAGCAGCTTGTAAATGCAACACGCATTAAAGGAGACCTGGTATGCTGCTTTTTTGCAAGATGCAAAATAAGTTTCTGAGTGAATGTACATGTGACATTTCAGCTCAAAATAGCACACAAATAATGTTTTACAACTCTCTGAAACTGACCCTTTTATGTGTTGATCCTATTAAACTTCACTACAGAAATCAAAAACTTAGTTTACGTCTTGCAGATTACATCAGGCAGAAGAGGTCACCTTTAAGTTATATTATATTATTATTATTATAAGTTTTATGTATATATAACTTAATATTACATCAGACACATTTAATAAATAATCATTAATCATTTATGCAAATCCTCTAGTGCAGGGGTGTCAAACTCAATTCCTGGAGGGCCGATGCCCTGCACAGTTTAGCTCCAACCCTGCTCCAACACACTTACCTGTAGGTTTCAAACAAGCCTGAAGGACTCAATTAGTTTGATCAGGTGTGTTTAATTAAGGTTGGAACTAAGGAACTAAGCAGAGCTGCGGCCCTTTTGGAACTGAGTTTGACACCTGTGATATAGAGCATAGTTTGTCATTTATATACATCTCTAGGCATATACATGTCTATATGTAATGGAGGCCAGCTAGTAAGTGCTGTGCAGGTAAACCTCACTCCTCTGACCTCTTAAGGTGCTCTAGCGACAAGTGCTAGGGGTCATGGTCTTTAGCCTCCTTGATAGAGCACCTGACTCCCATGCGGAAGGACATCGATTCGATACCAGCTCGGAGTGGGTTGGGTGGCGTAGGACTGGCGGTGTTACTTATGCATATGTTTTATTTGTAATTATTAATATACCACAATTTTCATCAATCCACCCCCCCAACCTCATCATTTTTAATTTTCAATTGCCCCTCCATAAACAATTTTCTAGATTCACCCCATGACCTGTTTTGATTTGTTTGTTTTTGCTCAGATGCAGTTTCTGTGAAGAAAGGCGATGAGATAAAGTTAGGTGTTCTGTTGCCCAATGCTAATAAAGTGGAGAAAAAATCCAGTGGAGAGTGGATGGAGGTCTGGAGCAGAGATTATGGGGTCCAGAGTGATCGAATGGCCATCAGAGATGAGAATCTGATTATTAAAGGGTTTATAACCAGTGATGCTGGAACTTATGTAGTTCTGGACCATGAAGGAGAGCTGTTGATCACGGTGACTTTCAAAGGTAAGAAAACTTTAATGTATTAATTTTAATACATCATGAGGCTAAAGAATAAATTCCTATGGTGACTGATGTTTGATATGTTTCTCTTACTACAGATTGTGGCTCTTTAAGAGAATGCAGTGGTAACAAAGAAAATTACCCAAGGGGCACCTATGATGAAAAACCAACTTTTGGAAGCTGTTTGAAGGAATTCATGTGTAAGTATAGTGTGTCATATTGGAGTGACAAATAAGATCCAAATCTCAGTGATTTTAAGGCCCAGCTCAATGTGACATAGGAGAGCGCTTTTCCCCACCCACTGAATTGATTGACATGAGCGTATTAACATGTCTCCACAGTAACGCTTATAAACATGCCCACAAAACAGAATTTGCAAGGCAAATTCTTTTAAAACAGTGCATGTATGGAATGAAGTTAGTAAAATAGCTGTAATTCAAAACTGCCAGTATCGGCACATCCAAATATTGTCTGTATATGAGGTTACGTCAAATATACAACAGTATTCCTGGTTTGTGGACATTAAATCTGGTTTATATTGTACAATAACATAGTGGATATCCACACAGCAGTGTAAGTTATCTTGTGTCCTGTCACATTTGCTTCATCTAAATGTGCAAAACACAACAAATTTAAATGTGTGTGTGTGTGTGTGTGCGTGTACTGCAAACCTTGTAAAGGCATTTCTCTGTAATTCATAATTTCAGAAAGGCTTGAATAAACTCCACAGCAAATACATGAATAACCTTACTTGGTTTTTTATTTGTAATTCAGCTTCATCCATGTCTGTCTCTGTCACTGACTGCTGTTTATCTGACGTAACAGGAGAAACAGACGTGTTTGTGGGATTGGTGAGCGGGGAGAACCAGCTCATTTACATTTAAAGGCACTGGCTACAAAGACAGCTACAATTTTCTTTTATTAAAAATGTATATTTTCAGCAGGGTATACAGTAATAAATAATCTGATAGGGCAGGGGTCACCAATCTTGGTCCTGGAGGGCCCGTGTCCCTCCAGGGTTTAGCTCCAACTTGCCTCAACACACCTGCTTGGTTGTTTCAAGTATACCTAGTAAGGCCTTGATTAGCTTGTTCAGCTGTGTTTGATTAGGGTTGGAGCTAAAATCTGCTGGACACCGGCCCTCCAGGAACAAGTTTGGTGACCACTGTGATAGGGGGTTTGAGCTGAAACTTTACAGAGACATTCTGGAGACACCGAAGAGTTATCTTACATTTTGTTAAAGATGTAAAATAGGAATCCTTTAAAGGGATATGTCAATCAAAGATGATGATGAATCAAATGTATCGACTATTAACTCTACCTCGAGTGGTTACAAAACCAACCCAGGCTCATTCTGAAAATGTAGTCCCATGGACGTTTCTGGAAACCGCGAATTATGTTGCCAGAGGTACGTATGGCTGCATTTCATTTTTTAAGCGAACGCTAAGGGGCGATGTGACGCCATTCCTTTTGGCTAACCGACCAGGTTTGAGTATGGGCAAGAGCGGTTCCAGAAATCAGGTAAGACAACAACAGAATCCAAAAAATAAAGTGAATGAGTGAACAACAGGGTGAGATTGTGGTAAAATCCGAAAAACGTGGTAAAAATCAGACGAGGACTTTTTTTTTTCTGGACGGCTTTTGTAAACCATTGGTTGGGTTTAGGGGAAGTGAGTGGGTGGGTCAATCTGTAAAATTGGTTGGGTTTAGGGAAGGAGGAGGGTGGGTCAGTCGATTGGCCAGTTGCCCAGTCAATCATTCAGTCATTTAGCTGGTCGACAGCGGCCTCTGGTGGGTTTACGTGAGAACAGCGTGGGCACAAACGGCACTTGCGAGAGACATCTGAGATGCAAAAAAGCAAACACAGCGGCCTCTCGTGGATTCAATCAAAACAAAAACAGCAAAAATAAATACCTCCCGGGACATATTTCGCAGTCTCCAGAAACGTCCACGGGACTACGTTTTCAGAATGAGCCAGGGTTGTACCAAACTTTAGTAGTTTCTGTCTTCTGTTAAACACAAAAGAAGATATTCTGAAGAATGCTAAAAACATATAACTATTTACTTCCATCATTGGAAAAACAAATGAAAGGAAGCATTGGAAAACAAAGGAAGTCAATGGTTACAGGTTTCAAGCATTCTTCAAAATATCTTCTTTTGTGTTCAACAGAAAAAAAGAAACTCTTACATGTTTGGAATATGATTGAATTTTCATTTTTGAGAGAACTATCTCTTTAAGTAAGTGATCAAAAAAAAAAAAAAATGAGTTAACATTTACAATTTGTTCTCTCTCCCTAGTTTCCCGCCTTCCTGCTAATAAACATTGGAGTTTTTCAACAAAACTGCAATGCTTTTTTGGTATTTATGCAATTATCGTGGCTATAGCAATTATTTTCATTTCGCTTTTGGTTTTTCTGAGGAACTGATGTCTACATGGAGAGAGTTTACAGGTACAGTATAGTTGCTTGCTTACTTGAGTTAAATTTTAATGTTCAAGAGATCTTTAGAAGATTGAGTCACTATATTTATCTTTAATTTACTTGGGTTGGGGAAAAATCAGCTGAGACCTTCAAAATCATGTGAGACTTAATGCAGCGGTCATCGACATTACAGTACCGAATAGCATTTTCTGCATTGTTCTCAAAAATATAAGCATTGTTTTAGTGTATGTGGAGAGGGAAAGTGGCTTTTCTACAAAAGTCAGTCAACTCATAGACAAGGATGTCTTAAAATATTCCTTACAAGCTGTTCACACGCCAATCAGAAAGGAAATAACATGAAAATTTGAAATATAGAATCCTTGACAGTCATGATATTTTTAGTTTTTATTACAGACCTCATAACAATTCTTTAACATCCTTTATTTTAGTTATTGCTTCAAAAAGACAGTGGCTTTTAATTTGTGTTTCACATATGGCATGTTTTGACTGCATCTGTATTTAATTTAACACATTATTATTGGCAAATGTGTCACTTGTGTGGACATCATGTTGGATTAATCATGTGAACTTTTTACATTTTTCTCAGTTTAGATTTTCACGAACTAAAAACTGATCTTTTAGCCTGTATTTACAGATAAAGTGTGACAAAACTTCATTAAACATTATTTGTAGTGCATAATTCAGTGGCTGAAGATTAAAATGTTACATTTACTTATTTACCTGTAGAGACAATTAATGTCTTAAGACTTGACAGGCTCTATTTGTATATTGAATATATATATATATATATATATATATATATATATATATATATATATATATATATATATATACACACATACAGGATATATGGGAAGAAAAACATTTGAAATATTGTAAAAAAAAAAACTTTTCTTTGCTCTGTCAAACATCACCTGAAAATAACTACAATATATGAGCTATATATATATTTTTTTATCTAAGAACTGCATTATGTCCAATTAAATATTCATGTAAAATTTAGCTTTTGATTAATAATTGATTGCTTATTAAATATTTTTTCAAATTTGGAAATGAAATAATCTGTATGCAAACTCTGTAATGCACTGTTTTTGTGTGGTTGTAATAAAGCTTTACTCACTGTTGCACTTTATCTAATTTAAAAAGTAAGCTGTTTTATGCATTCTATAGTTTCTTTTATCACTTGGCTGTTCAAGTCCAGGGTTTTGAATTGACTCCCTTAGTAGTGTATGGTGCTCCTGAAATAAAATGTTATGTTGCTGATGTTCTGTTTCTAATGTTTGTAAAGCAAACAAAATCTCAGTATCTTGTAATACTGAACAAATACAGATCAATTCAACAGCCAACCAGAGTAAAACTGGTAGAGGTAATACTCTCATATTGGATTAATTTTGGGAATGGAAAAACTTGAAAAATACTTACGAATAATACTGAAGTTACTTTATTTTTTCACCCAAGCTGGCCTGCTCATATACTCTTTACTTTAGTAATATTATCAGCTTTTACCTGAGTAAAATAATCAGTAATTTTTCCAGCTGTGATCAAACCATATGCATATGTATGTATATTTTGCAATATCAGCCTTTGGAAGAGTTTTCTCGTGTCAAATTCTTGCCACAACCACATTTGTCTCCTTAATATTGAATTTCCTGTATTCTTTGTAAATCTGCTTCAGCATTTGTAATAAAAATGTTAAGAATAAAAATTGTCATAAACATTTTCTTGTTTTCTTGACAGGGTTTTTGTTTTTAATCGGATCTCAGTGTAAGGCACTAGCTGCAACTTGTGCAAACAAAAATCTTGCTGGATTATAACAATTATGGTAAAAAATTGTGTTCGGAAAGGATATTTCTTACCAATTACAGCAATAATAACCAACCTGAATTAAAACCAAAAACGTACCGGCTTAAAGTACAGCATTTGTCATCATCCCTTTAATCTACCTAATCTGTGCTAAAGTGCAGATAAAATAAGTTAGAGCTATGCAAGCGTAACTACAGGAAACATCTAACTTTGTAGTCTTCTGATTGCAATCTGCACATCGCGTGTACCACAGACACTGGGAATTCACAAAGATTAAATCATCATTATATAACTATGTATGTATCTACACTGTAAAAAAGTGATTAGTTCCTATACTTTAAAAAAGTGAGTACACCCGTTGTCAGAATTCAGCCCTTAAACATTGTTTACAGAAAGCAATGGTAAAATGTGACAGTCATACTGTATTTAGTTTAAATCCAGCCTTTAACAATCTTTACCAACAAGCCACTAACTGTTGCATAATTTTTGCACAGTGTTTGCAGAAACCATCTCCTATTTACTTGTGGAAGGGAGAAGGGGAGACATGCCACTCTGAAGTGTGATCATGAGGCCAGTGAGATTTCCAATATCCGTTACATTAGACAGTGTTTAAATTGGAAACCGTGCAACACTCCACCATGCGGTAACCACGCGTCACTGCAGCCGCCCCTTCCGGAAGTATCGTTGCTGTCGGTTTGAAAATATAAATATTGTCATGGCGTCGGTAACTTTTCGCGACGGGTTTCTCTGCGTTTCTGCTTTAATTACCTTCGTGTTCGTATTTGTTACCGGCGCAGATTTTGTCCGTTTTGTGTCGTTTCGTGCCATCAATCATAACCTGAGCGGAGCCGCGCCTCTGTGTCGAGGTGAGATCCAGAAAACAGCCAAACTGACATACAAGTTACTGACAGAGTTTACAGAGAAACTAGACATGCTGTAAATAAACGCATGCACACTTACATTATTATTATTATTAATAGAGAGATTTTCATTCAGAATGGTCTTAAATGTGTGTTACAATAACATATTTTGAGTAGTTTAACTGTTTAGTTTGTTCGTACATTAGATTACAGCAAAGTTCTATAGTCTTTGGATTAGTTGGATCGAATTTTTAAAAACAAATAAGATTAATTACAGGCATATTTACAGCTTACTGAGTTTGATCTTTAATATGCAGTTATTAAACTTTTATTTTGTTACTTTGCATATAAACGTTAACATGTCGTATGAAGTCTTGATAAAATAACGTAATAAACTTGATCTAACGACTAAAGTTAAATTAATTGTAGATATAATAAACTTAATTATTATTTAGTAGTTTTAATTTGCAGTAAATTAGTTTGTGAAACGTTCCTGTCAATCGTGTTTAATATAACTTTAATGTAAAAGCGTCGTAAGAAGTTACGCTAATGTTAGCTTACAGTTTGAACTGACTAATAACAGTAAACAGATTAATTATAGATTTGAATAATTACTTTTTGAGTATTATTTAGTGTTTTAGCAATATAAAGCATTTATACGTTGATAACTTGAAATTTGTTTCTCTATCCCTCAAATGACCACTTATTCCTTGTGTGTGTACGAAGCGCCCGGCTAGCTCAGTCGGTAGAGCATGAGACTCTTAATCTCAGGGTCGTGGGTTCGAGCCCCACGTTGGGCGCAAAGTTTTTCATAGTGTTTTCTGTGTGTATCTGTATTATTTTCTTCCAGACTCTGTGCCCTGGTCTGTGGCTCTGCGGGATGGGGTGGTTCAGAAGGCAGTGGCTGTGGATGTTCTCCTTCTGGTCGTCTTCAGCCTCCAGCACAGTCTGCTGGCCTGGACTCCAGTGAAGAGAGTCTGTCAGAGTGTGTTTGGGGTTTTGAGCAGATCTGTGTATTGTTTCACCACCGCCGCTGCACTGCAGGTAATTCTGCATATGCATTATTTAAACATTTATAAGTAATTATTTGAGAGATGCTTTAATATAGAAGTAAATGTAAAGTGGTATGTAAGAATATTTTTTAAGGCAATGCTTTGCCTTTTACAGTTGTTATGTAGATATTTTATTGAATTAAAATTATATTAAATTATAAATGAGTAATTATATAACATTTGTGGAGTTATAATTTCAGAAATGAACTAGAAAAATGTACATACAATAAAAGCGAAGTTTCTTCTTAAACACCTGAATTAATACTGTGAACAGAATAATAAAAATATGTCTAAAATAATTTTATATAAAATTAATTATTTATTATTTATTTAATTTTATTCACTGTAGTATGTCACTTGGATGTGTTATTAATTTACAAATTATATTTATTTATGCTAGTTTCTCTAATTTCAAATTATTTCTTCTAAAATTATTTAGAGATTATTTATAAAACTATATTTAAAAGAATTCCAACCTTTTTTTAATTGCACAATTGTAGTATTACTTACCTTTTATTAAATTAAAAGCATGCATTGATTTTAAATAATAGATTACATGTGATTTAAAATAATGTATTTTGTTTAATTTATTTACTTGATTAATAAATAAATTTATAATTTAATAATTATAATTAACAAGAAATAGATTTAAACTGTTTTATGCACATTCATTATAGTGATTATTTATTTAAAATAAACATTTAAAACTATTCCAACCATTTTTATTGTTACAATTTTAGTATTGTTTATCTTTTATTAATATAAAAAGCACGCATTTATTTTAAATAATAAATTAAATATTAAAATGTATGTATTTTCTTTCATTTATTAAATTATTCAATTAATTAATAAATTAAAAATGTATTATTTAAAATTTGATCTTTGTTTTATTATAAAATGTAATTAAATCCAAAATCATAACATTAAGATAAAATTTAATCTTACATTTTTTTTTCTTCTTTTTTACATTTATAACTTTTTCATAAATCTCCAACAAGACTTTGCAGCCCCAAATCAAAACAAATCTGACACTGTGATCCCTAATTAGCCCTTATAATCAAATACCTCTGCTACCACTCATCATTTAAACTCACATATCCTGCATGTAAATTAGTCAGTGCTATATTCTGCTCATACTGTAATCTTGTGTTCAGATATTAATGCACTATTGGCGCCCGGTCACCAGCGCCCCCTGCCTGTGGTCAGTGAGCAGTGCACCATGGGAAATCTGGTTCCCGCTCATCTGTTTTATAGTACACTTCTTGTGCTGGGCTATAATCTGCAGCATCCTGCTCATCTTTGACTATCCAGAGCTACTGGGCATCAAACAGGTACACATGCACTGACAATCCAGACATTTACAAGCACAAAACACTCCAGTTAAAGCGTCTAATTTCATTTATATTTATTTATCAGGTTTGGACAGACATTTATTTATTATATTTATCTTTATCATGGTTTGTGTAAATGGGCCTTAAGACTAACATACTGATACTAACATCTATAAAACACCTTTAAAAGTGTGTGTGTGTGTGTTTCTCAGGTGTATTATGAGTGTTTGGGTCTGGGTGACCCTCTGCTGCTGAAGTCTGAGCGTGCGCAGCGTCTGTACTCTCACCTCCGTCATCCAGTGTGTGTGGAGCTGCTGACGGTGCTGTGGCTCCTGCCCTCCTTCCCGCTGGACCGACTCCTGCTGGCCGTGTTCCTGACCGTGTATCTGATCCTGGCGCACTCGCTGGACAAGCAGGACTGCGCTTACCTTCGGCACCAGCTGCGCAACAAACTGCAGCTCTTCTCCACACCACTAGAGGGCAGCGAGCAGACAAATGACAACAATAAACTAGAGTGAACGCTGGGTTTATAGGAGTCAGTAATGCTTTTACGTCAGTATGTAAGTCATACGGTGTCTGCAATTGCATACTTCTCTACTATGGTCAGTGAAAAACAATATCGCTGCATCCAAATTTGCTAACTATCCATCCTAAATAGTAATCGAAAATAGAGTTAGTGTGTCCCAAATCATATTATGTTTAAATGCATATTGAAAAGTTACCTGGATGCTCTACTATTTCTGGTAGATATTGAAAGTGCATATCCATGCTAACGTTAACTGTTAATATTGCCGTTAATTCGATACCGTTTTCCAAAGTTGGCTGGTTTACTTTTTCTAGTAGAAATTCGAAGTGCGAATCTCTGCTAATGCTAATGGCTAATATTTCCGTTGCACGGACCCACACTTCAAATAAAAAAACATTTATTTTATATTATGATAAAACTTCGAAGTGCAGATACGTGCTAACGCTAATGGCTAATATTGATGTTAATACATTTATTTTATACCGTTAATTTGATTCGATCTACAAATGTAGGTAAAACCGTTTTTTAAACTACAAACATGGCGGTCATGCAGAATCGAAAGTCTTACAGTGTGTTTAAAATCTCAATTTTATCTACTATAGTATGTGAAAAACAATATCGCTGTGTCCAAATTTGCATAATATCTTTGCTAAATATTATTTGAAAATAGAATAAGTCCAAAATCATAGTATGTTGAAATTAGTTTTCCCAAAACTACACGAATGCTCTACTATTTCCAGTAGAAATTCAAAGTGCATATCTGTGCTAACGCTAATGGCTAATATTGCCGTTGATTTGATACCGTAAATTTAATTAGAACTACAAATGTAGGTAAAAACTGTTATCAAACTACAAACATGGCGGATAAGCAAGATCAAAAGTCATACAGTGCTTCGAAAATCTACTAATATAATCTACAAATATTTCTCTACTATAGTATGTGAAAAACAATATCGCTGTTTCCAAATTTGCATACTATCCATCCTAAATAGTATTCAAAAATAGAATTAGCGTGTCCTAAATCATATTATGTAGAAATGAGTTTTCCAAAGACCCCTGGTTGCTCTACTATTTCTGGTAGATATTCGAAGTGCAAATCTGTGCTTATGCTTACGACTAATATTGCCGACAATACATGCGCCCAAATTTTAAATAAAAAAACATTTATTTTATTGTTTTTAATTTATTTAATGGGATAAATTCGAAGTGCAGATCCATGCTAACTGCTAATATTGTAGATAATTTGTCAATTTGATACCGTTAATTCAATTAGAACTACAAATGTGGGTGAAAAGTGTTAACAAACTACAAATATGGTTGACGCACAAGACCGAAAGTCATACAGTGCATCTGAAATCTCATACTTCTCTACTTTAGTATGTGAAAAACCATATTGCTGTGTCCAAATTTGCATATTATATTGCCGTTAATTTATTTGATACAGTTAATTCGATTAGAACTACAAATGTGGGTAAAAACTGTTATCAAACTACAAACATGGCACATGCAATGCGTCTGAAATCTCATACTTCTCTACTGTAGTATGTGAAAAACAATATTGCTGTGTCCAAATTTGCGTACTATCCATCCTAAATAGTACTGGAGAATAGAATTAGTGTGTCTCAAATCATAGTATGTTGAAATGAGTTTTCCCAAAGCTACCCGGATGGTCTACTTTTTTCGGTAGAAATTCGAAGTGCAAATCTGTGCTAACGCTAATTGCTAATATTGCACAATACATTGCATGTTGGATGTGAATTCGATTCGAACTACAAACATGGCAGACAGGCCATTCAATCACAAGCCATATGGTGCTTCTGAAATCTGATATTTCTCTAATATAGTATGTATAAACAACATATGTATTGCGCAGTTTACACTATTATACTATGGGCTGCTGAATGCTCGACTCTGATTGGCTGATGAGCATTTTAAGGTTCAGTTATTGGTTGGAATAATAAAATTCACAACACTTTCAAGGTTTAATAAGTGTAATTTCTGATAAGTGTAAAGTCTAAAGGTGGAAATAAACATGACACATTGTGTTCTATTTTAATATGATAATATATATATTTTTTTCACAAATATTTTTTACTCCAACACAAAATATAAATCGTAAATCTATATTAATTGAAAGTTTTTAGTGGTCAAATAAATAATAATTAATCCAAAATATGTCTTCACTTAATTTTTACCATAGATGTGTGCGTGTGTGTGTGTGTGTGTGTGTATATTTGCTTCATGTATACTGTATATCATTAAACCAGTGTGCAGCTATTATTATTATTATAAACTGAAGATGTGTCCAAAATGACAGATTGGATGATTTTGCTTTAACACATCTATAAATGATGCTTTTATTATTTCGTTTTGTCATTGTTTATCATTGCAGAACCGATAAATCATCAGGTGATAAACGCTGCGTTACATTCAGACCTCTTGTGTTTTTCACAATTAAGTGTCATAACTACTGGAAAACGTGCCTATGTGTGTGTGTTTTGTATTTTATGGAAATATGCAATGCTTGAAGTGTGTTTACATAATGACATCAGAGTCATCTGGTACAGAATGTAGTTTTACATGGTCAGTATATACGTTTTTATTGCTTAATAAGTTTCTCTGAGTAAGATTTAAAGGAAAAGTATTTTTTCTTCAAACTTTCATGTCTTGCTGTTTCTTTTTTTCATGAATTATTAAATTTATAGACCATTTTGATGGATGTAAACAAAAACAACGGTCCCAACTTATTTCCTGTTTTACATGTTTAATTTCTATGGCTTCGAAGAATCCAAAAAGAGCCACATATTGATAACCAATGTTATGAAAACTGTTTTAATATTAAGTTATGATTGAATTGCCTCGCGTTACAGTTATGAAATAATTTGATAACAAGCAGGAAATGTTCATGGGCCAATGGCATCACATTAAAATGGTCTGTAATGAAAATTGAAAAGGACATGCACATAAATGCACTGTTGTTAACCTCAAATAAATTTAATTTTACAGCTGTTTTGTGTTATGATGTGTATTTTTATAGAGCACCAATTATGTCTAAGCCACCCGAATTAGAGCATCAGTGGATGATAATAAAAAAGATTCAACATTTTGGGCGCAACAAGCATTGACTTTTGGAATTAAATGTATTTTTCAGGAATGAGGTGCAGGTTCATTATTATATTTTTATTTTTGGCTTAATTCCCCAATAGTTTCTTTAAAGAAAAGTGTTTTTTAAATGCTGAATTAAATGTTAAATGCTTGTCCTATAAAAAATTTGGGAAACCGAAAACAAACATTTACACAGTGCTGGGTTGCGGCTGGAAAGTAAGACGCTGCATAAAACATAAGACGGAATAGTTGGCAGTTCATTCCACTGTGGTGACCCCTAATAAATAGGGGGCTGAACCGAAGGAAAATGAATGAATAAAAAAATAAAAGTAATTTTATGACAACTATGCAAACACCTTTGTGGTTTTGAGTGTTTATTGCTCAGATATGTCCATTAGGAGTTCAAGTCTAATTTTAAACATTTCAATTTAATATATTTACACAAACCTTTGAAATGTACCTTTAAATAGCTTTCATGGATACCATAATGCATGCATTGTTGCTTTAAAAATGACAATAATAATATCTTGACATCACAGGATCATCTAATGGCCAAAAATAATTAAGTGTATAAATAAAGAGATGTTACTAGCCACTATTTGTATGATTGTTCTTAGAAGGGATACAGCTGCCGTCAGAAGTTAACGAGAATTATTTATATTATTTATTAAATTACCCATTAATTGTATTTTATTAACGCCCAATCTAAACCCAACCTTCACAATAGTGTAAAAACAGTAATTATACCGAGTATTATTCATATTATTTATTAAAATAGCCTACAGATTAATTGTATTTATTAACGTTCCTCCATACCTCGCAGTACTTAGCCATAAGAGTTTTTCATATTATTAATTAAACGACCCATTTAATTGTTTTTTTTTCAACGTCTTCTCCTATACCCAGCCCTAAACCCAACCATCACAATAATGTAAAAATATTATTTATTATTTTACTCTGTCATAAAAATGATTGATGTGAGCTGTATCCCTTCTAAACTTTACCTTCGCATTCGTGGATGAGTAGGCAGGCTACATTTCTAATGGTCTTTATAGGAAAACAGTATTAAATGACAATTAGCAGGACGTTAATGAACTTTTACACATAAACTGGACATGTTTATGAACTTGTAGATGCGTTTGTGCTCTATACTATTAGTGAGCTGACGGTTAATGGCGTCTCTCCGTTAACCGATGTTCTCCGGTGTCCGGGATGAAGAGCAAACGACAGTCTTAGTTAAACGCCTTTTCTCGGTCATCATACGGTGTGTGTGTGTGTGTGTGTGTGTGTGTGTGTGTGTGTGTGTGTGTGTGTGATTCTCCTGCTGGAGTTTAATGTAATTACGGGATTACTGTCCTCCTAAAGCCGCTAATATTTACTACACTGAGCTGCGATTGACGGGACTCAAATACAGTTCACCGAATCACGGAAATATGAATTAACGGGAGGTTTTTCTACTCGGTGAGTGTTAGAAATGAAGCTTTTCGACTACTGAAGGGATTACCTGGACTTTCTGAAGAGTCTTTATGGAGTTACACTATAATAAGATGAACGTCGAGCGAGAGGGAAAGAGGAAAACTTTATTCCGGCGAAAATAATCACACGGAGGAAAAAAGGTGAGTAACAATAGTCATTTAAAACATTACATAATGTATAATATCTTTTAAAAACACGTCGAAATCTAGTGAAAATCTACAGCATATCAAACAAATCGTTCCCACATGCTAAAATAGGCTAGTATAGTCTTGCTTTTGATAGTCGCTCGTAAAGTGATTTGCAGGCTACTCTACATTTACATTTGTTAATTAATGGTATATTAACTAGTGTATTAATTACCTTAAATAAACTGTAAACTGTAATGTAGTACTGAAAACAACAATATTGGGTTATTATTAGTTTATATTAGCCTACTAGTTGTTGTGTTAGCATAGTAGGTTAACTATAAAATATCACAACAGGTTGATTCAAGTGTTTGGCTATAGTATAATTCAAGAACTCTACATTATTTACTATAAATTACTATTTTATTTTATTTATGTGGGTTATTATGCATTAACTCAACATATGAATAGTTGGCAGTGCACCTAATTTAAAACCACAGCAACATTACATTATTGCATGTATTATTAAATCAATTAAAAATAATTTGAGATCACTTATTGATCTCCTTATTGAAGTGCCTAATAAATAAAATCTTCAGGAAAACAAACGTGATTATATATTGATGTTATTGTTTTTTGTATATCCTGTTTTATATTATTATTATTAGATTTGTTTGTTTTAGATGTTGTTTGCAACAAAAGCAATAAAATTATTGGTTTCACTTTATTTAATGTGTCCTAGTTACAGTTTAGCTATTAATTTAACTAATAATATTAATTAATTACATGGAATAAATGATTATGGTTGAACGTGGATTAGGTTTAGGGTTATTAACATGTAATAACTATGCATAATTAATTGTAATTACTGGTGTTAAGTACATGGAACATAAAACATGAACAACTTTAAATAAAGTGAAATGGTGAACAGTCTCAAAAAAATAAAAACTTTAGCCTATTTGACATGCATACATATTTAATTGAATTGACTTAAAGTTTATGGTTAGTTACATGTAAATATGCATTATTCATAGTAATTACTTAGTATAATAAGTGCATGGAAAATGTAACTACATCAACTTATATGAATGTTTTTTTAGACATACCTTTTGATTTTGATTTATTTTGAAGGTAATATTCACTTAAAACATTTATTTAAACACAAATCATCAAAACAAACCAATATATCTATGCAAACAAAAAAATAACAAATGACTTTACCTTATCTTTCTCAAATGTCATTGTAATGCAATAATGAAACCTTTCGTAAAGCTGCTTTGAAACATTAATTATTATGAAAAGCACTATACAAATAAAGAAAATAGAATTTTAACCAGTTCAAAATGAAGCGGCACAAAGCACAAGTTTAATTATCTTTATAAGTATCAATGTTTACTTTGGGCAACACGGTGGCTCAGTGGTTAGCGCTGTGGCCTTACAGCAAGAAGGTGGCTGGTTCGAGTCCCAGCTGGACTGTGTGGTTCTCTGGGTGCTCCGGTTTCCCCCACAGTCCAAACACATTTGGGGAATATAGGGGAATTGATTAACTAAATTGGCCGTAGTGTAGGAGTGTGTGTGTATGGGTGTTTTCCAGTACTGGGTTGCAGCTGGAAGGGCATCCCCTGTGTAAAACAAATGCTGGAATAGTTGGTGGTTCTATCCGCTGTGGCGACTCCTGATGAATAAAGGGACTAAGCCGAAGGAAAATTAACGAATGTTTACTTTGCAACTACTCAATCTGCACTACTCATAGCATGTTTAACAAATAAAAAACACAACCGCCTACCTGCTAATCAATTTGTTTGTTGACAGAATTACTGGATGTCCCAGGGGAAAATTGTGTTTTTGCAAAACTGATTCATCCAGCCCTGCGTGGTTATGTCTCTGTCGGCGCTACCAGAATGGAAGCAGATGCTTCTGGAGCGAAAGAGAAAAGAGGAGGAGGAGAGAGAAAGACGAGAACGTGAGGAAGAAGAGAGGCTGGCCAGCATGCCAGCCTGGAAAAGGGAGATCATCCAGAGAAGAAAAGAAAAAGAGAGAGAGCGAGACATACAGCGTATTCCCGATGTGTTGGCCAGCACTGAGGACATCATTACAGAACATCTCCCCAAGGTAAAACAAAAGATATCCAAAGAAACCTTCCAACAGAACCCGTTCATCCGCTCTGAAAACAGCTTTAGGAAGGATAAAAGGGTGATTGGAGAGAATGCATGTAAAAAGGCTGGTAGTAAATCCGGGAGGGATCATAATAAAGAAAAAGAAGTCTGGAGAGGACGAGATAGAGAGAGTAAAAATGAAGGAAGAGAGCAAGAGAGAAGCACCGGGAGAGAAGGCAAGGAGACGGGTCCATTCTCTCCAGTCGTGGGTCTGAGAACGATCCAGGCCAACAATATTATCATTATTGAGAAAGATAAAAGCGGGAGGGAGAAGGTGGAGAAGGAGGTGGAGGAGGACGAGAAAAGGATGAGGATGGATTTGAGGGAGTTTCTGGCGGGAGGTGGGAGTGTGACGGAGATTAGAGCATCGGAAGTGCTGATCATCAAACCTCCTGTGACGGAGGGGAAAAGAGATGGAGAGAGTGGAGGAAAGATGGAGAGAGGGAGAGGGGAAGAAAGGATAGAGAGAGGGAGAGGTGAAGAGATAGGGGTAAGTGAAGAACGAAGGAGAGATGAAGAAAGTTTAGAGAAAGGGAGAGGTGAAAAGCGAGGGATTAGTGAAGAGGGATGGAGAGGTAAGGGGAGGGGGGAGGACTGGATTGAGAAAGGGAGAGGTGAAGAGAGGATAGAGAGAAGGAGAGGTGAAGAACGAGGGAGAAGTGAAGAAAGAAGGAGATGTGAAGAAAGTTTAGAGAAAGTGAGAGGTGAAAAACGAGGGATAAGTGAAGAGAGATTGAAAGGTCAAGAAAGATGGAGAGGAGAAGAGAAAGGGATAAGCGAAGAACGAAGAAGAGGTGAAGAACAAGGGATAAGTGAACAGCGAAAAAGAAGTAAAGAGCGAGGGATAAGTGAAAAACAAAGGAGAAGTGAAGAGCAAGGGATAAATAAAGAGCGAAGAAAAGATAAAGAGCGAGGGATAAGTGAAGAGCTAGGGAGACGTGAAGACTGGATAGAAAAAGGGAGAGAACGAGGTAAAAGTAAAGAACGAGGGAAAAGTAAAGAACGAGGGATAAGTGAGGAGCGTTCAGAGAAAGAGGGAATATGGAGCTCTATGCAGAGAGTGCTGGGCCACAGAGCTCCGGGCTGCAGTGGGCAGGTCAGTGTGCCCGCTCGGGTCAGTGGGCGGGTCAGTCAGCTGCTCAGTAAATTCGGGGAAAACCCCAAACCTCCACTGAGATCCAAAAGCACAGAATCCCTGAACCAGCCCGACAAGACCAGGGCCCGATACAGCACAGGAGACCTCTCAGTGCAGGACGTCCCAAACCTGGAGGAGCCGGAAAACAATCCGACACTCCGAGGAGTCCCGAAGAGATCCTTCAGCTTCTCAGACCGCGTGATTCGACAACAGGAGAACCGAGATTTTAAGGCTGTGGAGAGAACACACTCTGACCGCAGAGTCAAAACTCAAGACCAATCAGAGGGTCAATCAAGGGTCAACAGGAAATCTAAAGATGATGAGGAAAAGAGGCAAACAGAAAATAGGGAGAGGAATGTTTGTGGAAAGACAGAAGATGAAGGCTTCACTGTAGCCTCCATCGTCAAAAATCCAGAGGAGGTCGCATTTGCAAGGCGAATTCCTATCAAACATGAGGAGAGGGAGTGCGGAGAGAACAGAGAAGAGAATGAGGTTGAAATAGATAAAGAGATGCATAGAGATAAAAAGCAAGAGGAAAAATGGAGTCTCACAGAATTCCAGAATGATTCCGATAGAAGACAGAATCAGGACCAAGCAACTCTTCCAGATTCAAGACAGTCCCACGGTATATACATCCCACCTTCAGATGACAGTACTACAGATCTCCCTGCAGACATTCAGTGCCAATGCAGTGTCAACACTGCAAACACTAGTTGTCCATCTACAACCTGTTCCGTACAACAACAAGCAGTCCTTACTCAGCACACAGAAGATCTGTTGAGCAAATTAGGCAAAATCCAATCAGACATAGAGTTTAAAAGTTCAACGCATGCATGTTCACATGAGGACTCAGACATGATCTCTGATGAACTGAGTTTCCAAGAGCATCAAGACTATGAAAACTTTCCAAAGCAAGAGGCATATTATTCCTCACAACTCCCAACAACACTATCCCAGAGCAAGCTCTGCACTCAAGAAGGAATCACCATCCCCAGAACAGTGTTTTATGGAGTCGATATATCAGCGAAAATAAGAAGATCGAGTCTGCCTGCTGGACAAGAGGGTGGACAAACTGAGAGGAGAGGAAGCTGGAAAACAGGCCGACCTTTGACCCGAGTGGAGTCTCTGAAAGAGAAAATTCGCCAGCAGGAAAAGGAAACACAGAGAAGTAGACATGATGAAACTGAAGCAACTACAAGCAAGCAGGAAGAAACCACAGTGCAGACTCTCACACCGCTTGACGTCACACAGGAAGTCAGCATGGCAAAGTCAAGCCCTCAACTTCCTGTTCCTGATTCTCTGTCGCTCTTGCAGTCATCAGAAAGAGAAGTAGTGGAGATCACATCCAAAAGTGATATCTGCGGAACTAAGAAAAGAGCTTGCAATGCTCCGAGAACACAGGACTTTGACGGAGAAGACGATAGAATTGAAAGAGAGGAAGAGTTGTTAGAGGAAGAGTATTTTCCTCCTTCTCTTTCTCCCTCTCCTACTCTTTTAGAGTCTTTGGACGCCATGAGTCGGATTTATAACCTTAAGACTGTAGGGTCTAGAACTACAGTGTGTATCGGCGAAAGATCAGCTGATGTGTCCCCACATAGTGGACTGCAAGGTAAATACAACCCTATTAGACAAGCACCTTCGCCGGACGTCCTTCCAGAAAAGGCCAAGGTGTGGAATCATGAGAAATCTGAGACCGTGGAGTCGACAGGTGTTCAGACGGTTCAGCGTCAGGTGGAGAGACTACAGCTACAGAGGGAACCGGAAGAAGGATGTGGTTTCCCCAAAGACAAAAAATCAAGTCGCACCATTGTAGAACCGGAGGTGAGAATCGCCGAGGGTCAAAAGAGGCCTGACATCTTAAGAGAGACTCAGATTTCCACCCCAAGATTTCAACCTCAACAAAAGGTCAGATCATTCACAATCAATGCCCAGAACTCGGCGAAACCTCCAGAGCAAATCTCTCCATCATCATCAGCGGGATCGCCCTCCTCGTCAACTCCCTCTCCTCCTCTGTTCTCCATTAGAAGCGCTTCAGGTAAGACTGTGCAATTAATCTAAATTCAAGCTCACACTTTATTTTGTTTGCTGAATTTAAGTTACATTGCATTTACATGTCAACTAATTCTTATTAGATTATAAGTAGACTGTTAGGTTGGGGTTGGGGTTAGGGTAGGTTGACAGGTACTTGCAAAGTGTCTTATAGTCAGGTAAATGTCTGTTGAAGGAGCAGAATCAACAGATATTTAGCAGACAGTCTACTAATACTCAAATGCACCATCAAAATAAAGTGTTACCAAATTAATTTCAATTTTGGCATCTAATGATTATGGAAAATCATTAATTGAGATTATTGCAAAATCATGTAAATATTGCAATAAGAGACGTGCTTCGTCATCCAATCTGTCTGGAATGACAGGAAAAAACAAAACAAACTAAGACAAAATAAATCCAGAGAATCTTTGGCAAACATCTCTAAGATGCTTTAAATAAATGATCTGGAAAGCTACCTAAAATTTATAGACAAGTGTTTTAAATGCAAAGTGTGGCCATACCAAATGTTGATTTGATTTAGGTAATATAATTTACTCGATAAATAAAATGCTTAAAGCATTGAACAGTTCTGAGCATCTCTGAGACATTGCCAAAGTTCTTCTGGATTCAGTTTGTCTTAGTTTGTTCTGTTTCTTCATGACCTTCCTGACAGATTGGATGATGATCAGATCAGATCTCTATAATTACAATTAATGCCAATAATAATGTAAATTGATATTTCAAACTGACATGCTACAGAAAAATATTGAAATAACCAACTTTAAACCTTATATTTTTGGTGAAAATACTAGTGGCCCAAGACTTTTGCACAGTACTATATATATATATATATATATATATATTTATATAACATATACAGTAGCCCATTTTGAGGGATGTAAACACAGTGGTTCCAACGTATTTCTTGTTTTACATTTTTCATTTCTACAGTTTACGAGAATCAAAAAAGAGTCACTTATTAATAAATAATGTTATGATAGCTGTTTTAACATCAAGTTATGAATAGATTGCCTCTTACAGTAATGAAATAGTTTGATAACAAGCAGGAAATATTCATGGGCCAATGACATGACCACATTGAAATGGTCTATATATTTGTTTTGGTTATATGGCCAACTATTATTATGATCCTGATATTTAAATGTGATTACAGTTTTGACCATAATTATCCTGATTTAAATTTTTCCCATGATCAATCAGGTGGGCCGAGTAAGAGAGGAACGACAATCACTATAACCCCCCGGAGATCTGCTGGGTCGTCCTCGCCTGGGAGTACACCGACAGCGACCTCCCCCACAGCACCCAAAGCAGCCCCCCAGACCCAAACGCCCACCCCTGCCCCCATCAGCACCCGGGAGACGGGGAAAAAGAGGTATCCCACGGCCGAGGAGATCCAGGTGATCGGAGGATATCAAAATCTGGAGCGCTCCTGCTTGGTGAAGAGTAGAGGGACACCCAAATCGGTGAGTGGGTTTCTGTTTTTGCATGACTTTTACAGGGCATTTAGACTTTTAATATGCATGCTAACATAAACATAACTTTCATTCATTCATTCATTTTCTTGTCGGCTTAGTCCCTTTATTAATCCGGGGTCGCCACAGCGGAATGAACCGCTAACTTATCCAGCAAGTTTTTACGCAGCGGATGCCCTTCCAGCCGCAACACATCTCTGGGAAATAAACATATTTCTTTCAAAACAACATGCTCATTCTAGTAATATGTACACATTTATAGCGTGTATTAGCAAAATGCTTGCATTTTTATGGTATGACTTAAATATGACGACAGACATTCAAAGCTTAATTCTAATATATTAGTAAAAGCATTGTATGTAAATATGACATTACAATATGACATCTGATATGAGAACAGTCGCAATATGTAAATATGCTATGTTATTTCTATCTGGATATTTTTCCATTATCCTTCAAGCTACACACAAAAAAGTTTTCTATCATTTCCAATAAAGTCAAATTTACTATGACTTATTCTCCTATATATATTGTTTAATAACTACTTAATAACCATGCTTTATTTTTACATAAATGAGTCAAATATACACATACAAATGTTAAGCTGAATGATGATGGAACGTTATTTTGACATTTTCATACAATAATTTTAGTTATCAGAAACATTAGACACTTTACCTGCATTTAAATGATTATAAAATGACTTCTGTACATTTGATGAGATTTAAATTAAATGACTTATAAACAGTGCAGATAATGCAAGAAATTAAGACACTCGTTTAAGATTCTCAAAAGAAAATCAAAGCGTGATCTCTCAGGATATCTCTGTCGTCTTTGATTGTGGCTCAGTGTTAATCCTGGATTAGGATTATCCCTCACGCCATCACAGTGCACAGGTGAGGGTGTGTGAAACAAACACATTTAAACACTGCATAATCTACATTAAATAAATATTAAATAAATGTGCATAAGCAGCAATGAACTAATGATTATCTGCAACTTTAAAATAATCATCTGCCCTCTTGGTTTGAACATATAAAGACTTGAATCTGAAGTGCAGCGAGTGTCTATGAATAGAGGAGGTTAATCTAGTGCACTGACTCTGCCATGTCTGATCTAGTTGTTTGTTCATGTTTAATGGCACTGAGAAATTTAGTGTTCAGGAGAGCTGAATTCACTTGTAATTTCATTTATAGCATGAATTGCAGCATATATGTGCTGCTGAATCACAAACTAAAGCATAAAATTATTAATACATGTAGTATATGTGACTCATATTGACAGAATTGCAGGTACACATCAAGCATTTTTTATAGATTTCTGATCACACTTTAGAATAAGCTTTCATTAGTCAATGTATTTACTAACATGCACTAAGTATGATGTACGGTGTTGAAAAAAGACATTGTGATATTCAGTTTTTCTGTGAATTCATTCATTCATTCATTTTCTTGTCAGCATAGTCCTTTTATTAATCCGGGGTCACCACAGTGGAATGAACCGCCAACTTGTCCAGCAAGTTTTTACGCAGCGGATGCCCTTCCAGCTGCAACCCATCTCTGGGAAACATCCACACACACATTCACACACACACACACTCATACACTTCGGACAACTTTTCAGTTGGCGTTTTTGTGTGGAGTTTGCATGTTCTCCCTGCGTTCGCGTGGGTTTCCTCCGGGTGCTCCGGTTTCCCCCACAGTCCAAACACATGCGGTACAGGTGAATTGGGTTGGCTAAATTGTCTGTAGTGTATAAGTGTGTATATAAATGTGTGTATGATGTCTGCTGTGGTGACCTCTGAAATAGAGACTAAGCCGAAGGAAAATGAATGAATGAATGAATGAATAAATAATGTTTAGAAAAGGACAAAATAAAACAGTGTGAATTACGAATGAACAAATCTTATGAGTCGTTCTGTTACTGGATCACTCAAAAGCCTAAAACTCACACTCAGGAATTGACTAGGACTGAAGGCACATTATAATTTCTGCATTAATAAATGATGCACGATTATCAGAGGAGTTTGCTGTATTTATGCTGCTGTATGTGATGCGGAGTTTAATGGCCGTGTCTGCTCTCATCAAACAAAGCTTTCTGGAGTAAATAGGACACAGCAAACACAAAAGAGGCTCAACGGAGCAGAAAGAGGGAACCAGAGAATTTGGCAAGACAAGAACGAGCTTTTCTTTTAGTCAGCGTTTCACAGGGAGTTAATAGAGCAGCATGTTTGCATTGTAAACGCATACAGTAACTTCTGCCAGGAACTGGAGTCAACTGTACATGAAAGTGAAATATGACCCTCCAGATCACATCTATGATGATGATAATAACAATGGAGAAAGTGTTTGGTGGTCTAAAATAAATAGTTTAGTATTACTTTAGCTCCTAAAATGTCAATTTTTAAACCGACATAAAAATGATGTGTAATCAATAAATGCCAATCGTTATTGCTTTGATGCATAGACTTCAGCTTGGTCTCATTTTAAAGAAGACAGATGTCAGATTGTATGTTTTTAATTAGAAAAAAAATATTTATAAAAAAAAACTTAATTAATAAAAAAGTAAAATAATTAGAAAAATAAATAAATAAAAGTGTATTAAAATAAATACAAAACATCATGTTGTTAATTAGAAATAAATTATTAAAATAAAAAATATATAAATAAATTATAGAAATTATGTTGTTAATTAGAAGAACATATTTTTTATTAAATAAATAATAAAAATCATGTTGCTAATTAAAAAAAATATTACAATAAAAGTGTATTAAAATAAAAACAAAACATGTTGGTAATTAGAAATAAATTATTAAAATAAAACATTTAAAGAAATGATATAAATTGTTAAGTTAATTATAAAAAAATATATATATACATATATTTAAAATAAATAATAAAAATCATGTTGCAAATTAGAAAAAGATTGTAAAACAAAGTGTGTTAAAATGAATTCTAAAAGTTATGTTGTTAATTAGAAATAATGCATTAAAATAAAAAAAAATATTTCAATAAATTATAATTATGTATAAACATATTTAAATGAATAATAATTATGATGTTAATTAGTAAAAAAGATTAAAACAATTTTTTTTAAATAAATACAAAAAATTATGTTGTTACTTAGAACAAAGTATTAAAATAAAAAATCATTTAAATAAAATTAATATATATGTAAAAATCATGTTGTTAATCAGAAAATAAATAAAAAAAATATTCAAATAATACAAATTATTTTGAAAATTAGGAAAAAGAATTAAAATAAAAAAGTAAAGTGAAAAAAGTTTTAAAAGTTAAATAAAACAAAAGTTATGCACCTTTACGTTTATAAAAGTAATCAGACAATAAATGCATATTTTATTATATTACATAAAATATGTATGTTACAAAATCTACAATAAAAGAAAATCAAATATCTGTACTAATTATGTCCCAAATTTGAAGTTGATATCTTTAAGAAATGAGCTTTCATTGGTATTTTGTTAGGCCGCAGTACACTGACAGTACACAGTTACCACACAAGAGTGCCCTCTACGTTTTGAGGAATATGAACCTTATTTTTTCATAGTTTTGACAGAATTTTTAAAGTAGAAATACAATTCTGAAGTAATATAGGAGGTCTGGTGGTATTTGGTTTGAATTTACCCTCTAAAATACATCTAAAACATTTTTACATGTGGATTGCTGTAGCATGGTAATGACTCTGATGAGTATCCTGACTGCATATTAATAAGAAATTTTCTCCTGTTAGAATTTCAAAAATTTTTAAAATATTAATTATTGGCAAATCTTGACTATTAGTTTAAATATATTGATTTAGTTCAATTTTTTTAAATTTATGCAAGATTAAAATCAGAGCATTGCATAACGCGTGACACACTGTGTGTATAAACCCTTATATAATATAGAATTGTGTGTTTTTTGTTGCTGCAACATTCAGGGTTTTTTAAGGCAGTCTTGTGACTGCTCACTGGCTACTTCCTCCTCTAAACCATGTCACTTCCTATAGCTCAGACAAACTGGTTATCAGTTTCTGAACGTTTCAGTTTAATGAACATTTTGCTATCACACGTTGATCAGCTGTGTGTGTATGTGTGTGCGTGTGTGAGTGTCATTAGCCTGCTTTACACTCTGACCACAGCTAACCTTCAGCCTCTGTTCACACATGCTGATTCTCTGACTCTACAGTATGATCAGAGGATCGGTTTTACACAGGCTAATCTCACTCAATCTACGCTAACTGTTTTTGCATTTCGACTTGTGCATTTTGGCCCTTTTCCACTGAATCAGATGGGAATCAACAACAATAAATAATGCATACAATTTTAACTCTTGCATACTGTTCAGATTGACTCCCCTTTGGTGATGTTGATGCTATTTTTGCCCCATTGACTTCCATTATAAGGACATTTATTGACTGCAAAGCCATGACAGCATATAATCATGCATTCTTGATTGTTGCTGGTTTTCCCTGTTGGGAAGAGGGACAGTGTGTCATTTTTACTGTTGTCAGGATCATCAGTTTTCAGCATTAACCCTTTAGAAAGGCCTGTGCTAATGAGTTTCTGGCATTTATAAGGAGTTCAGTGGAGTAAAAAACTAATTATAGTGCAGAAATACACTTATCAGACAACTTGCTTTTATATTTATTGTATTATAATGTGTGCATATAGTGTTCAGTGCTTTAACAGGCTGCTTTTAAAGGTGCTTTTTTTAAAATATTAGTTAAGAATTATAATAAAAAAGTAGTTTATCAAATAAAAACACTCATTATTATTGTTATAACGTGCATTTTTTTCAAAAGCTTCTGCATGAATATGTCTGTGCATAAATGAAATGTGGTGTTATTCTGAAAGAGCGTTGTACAGAGAAATGTGTGTTGATAGAGAAAAGTGTGTGTCATAAGGTGAAAAATGTGTGTTGGAGAGTGAAAAAGTGTGTTGTACAGAGCCAGTAATGCTGATCATGGCTGTTTTCCGGCTCGGCTGACGTCACTGTGTTAATCTGACAGACGGGCTGATTTTACACTCCTCATCTGAACCTTAAGCCTCTGCCTGGTTCCTTTCTCTCTCTTCAGTTTCAGCTAATCTCTGGAGGGTTCTGCTCCGCATTATCCCTTTGAGTAGCACGCTTACTTAAGCTGGATTGTTATTTCTGCACCCACCAGATTCAGGATGTTATAGTATGTATAATGTTAATATATAGTATGTGTAATGTTTCAGAAACAAATCCACTAGGTGGCGCTGTACACATCATTGTTGCAAATCTGAAATGCATTACTTGGGGAACTTGTTGTTGCACGTTTCAGATGACAAATCCACTAGAGGGCGCTGTTTTCATTTTTGTGAATCTTAAATGCATTACTTGGGTTACGCATTGTTGTACATTTCAGATGACAAATTAACCAGAGGGCGCTGCTTACGTTTTTTTTTTAAATCTGAAGTTCGATTATTATGGAGCATTTTGTTGTATCTTATAGATGATAAATCCAATAGAGGGCGCTATCTACATTTTTGCAAATCTAAAATATGTTATTTAGGGTACGCATTGTTGTACATTTCAGATGACAAATCCACTAGAGGGCGCTATCTACATTTTTGCGAATCTAAAATATGTTATTTAGGATACGCATTGTTGTACATTTCAGATGACAAATCCACCAGCGGGCGCTGTCTACGTTTTTTTAAAATCTGAAGTTCAATTATTATGGAGCTATTTGTTGTATCTTTCAGATGACAAATGCACTAGAGGGCGCTATCTACATTTTTGCGAATCTAAAATATGTTATTTAGGGTACGCATTGTTGTACATTTCAGATGACAAATCCACTAGAGGGCGCTGTCTACATTTTTGCGAATCTGAAATGTATTACTCAGGGAACTTTTTGTTGTAAGTTTCAGATGACAAATCCACTAGAGCAGTGTTTCCAAACCACCTTACTGGAGGACCACCAGCTCTGCACATTTTTCATGTCTCCCTAACCAAATACACCTGATTCAGATCATCAGCTCATTAGCAGAGACCGAAAGACCTGTAATGGGTGTGACAGACAAAGGAGACATCCAAAACATGCATTAACGTGTAGTAACTCCAGGAACGGGGTTAAGAAACATTGAACTAGAGGGGGCTATTCATATTTTTGCAATGTGAAATTCATTACTTAAGGAACATTTTGTAGTTTTACCTTGATTTTACATTGCTTTTGTCTCTTTTGTTGTTCACCGGATTCCCAAAACATAAAACAAATGTAAAGTAAAAAATCTGATATAGTAATTTCTAATAAAATTTCTACTAAAACGATCTTTGTGTAATATTTATTTTATTTGCCATTTAATTAATGTACTTTTCTGTTGGCTTTTCAGCAGTTTCTTTGATTTTCATTTGGTCTTTTTAATTGTTATTATTGCCATCTTTTATTTGAAAAATAAAAAAGAAAAGACTTTAAAGGCTTAAAATTGTATTATTTTATATTATTTGTAACAATTTTTAAAAATAATTTGTATAATACTTTTTGTAAATTATAAATTTTCCTGTGTTTTTTCGTTTTATAACTTTTTATTATCTTTATTTTTATTGTTACTTACATACCAACACATTAAATTAAACATAACATTCTAAAGCCAAAAGAAAGTTTCTTGCAACACATACAGATAAAATAAAGTGCATTAATTACTCACCCCGTATTGTTAAATCTCACATGACTTTTCATCTTCTGCAATAAAAAAGAAAGAAAGACATGATATTAGGCTAAATAAAAGACTTATCGCTGACTTCAGCTGTCTGTAAACTCATAATTCATGAACTGTAAATTCTGCACAATGTTTATTGGCGTTCACTGACCGCTGTTTCTCTCTCTCCCTCTCTCTCTCTCAGGTGAAGGTGTGTTTCGATGAGGTCGAGCTGGAGCGAGTGTGTGAATATCCCTCTGAGGAGTGTGTTCTGGCCTCTCTTCCATGTTTTCCTCAGTCTGGACTGGAGGACGGAAATCGAGACGAGCAGGAGGAAGATGATGAAGACGAGGAAAGCAGCAGCGCACTCACAAATCCATCAGACATCAGTGTGTGCGCAGGCAGGACTCGATTCCTGAAAGTCGGTCAGTACATCACAAAAACCACAACAAACTTCATTACTGATTAAACTCTTTGCATATTTTGTAGTTATGTAATACTATGCAATATACTATTAACTATTAATATATAAATTCAATTCAATTCAATTGATTTTAAATCACACTGAACTGAGCTAAACTGAACTGAACTTAAACACTAAAAACTGAACTACACTGTTTCAGTTACTATGACCATTTATGTGAAGCTGCTTTGACACAATCTACATTGTAAAAGCGCTATACAAATAAAGCTGAATTGAATTGAATAATATATAAATAACTTGCTAAATGCTGCATATCAGTATTTTCTAAATAAATATTTTATGTAATGATGAGCTAATTAAATAAAAAATTAAAACAATTATTTCAATCAAGGTGCAAACATTTAGGACCCTATCATACACCAGGCACAATAAGGCACAAGTCGTGTTTGGCGTGATTTGTTGCTATTTTCAGACCAGCGCAACTCTAATTTTCACGTTTTGCACCGCATTGTTTAAATAGCAAGTCCATGTATGCCACTTTGTGGACTCATGGGCGTGCTGGTCTAAAGTAGAGGTGTGTTAAGGCGCATTGTTGGCGCATAGCTGTTTTGAAGAATTAGACCACACCATTGACCAGCTAAAAGCAGGTCTAAAGTCCAGCGCAGTCCCTTAATGTTTTTGCGCATGCGCTTTAGACTTCATGCCTATATCGTTAAAATAGAGCCCTTATGCTGTGTTCACACCAGATGCGGAATGCGCGGATAATTCGCAATATTTGTGCTTAAATAGCCGAGTGAACATTTGAGTTTACTCGCTTCATTTGCGCGTCAAACCCTGCTTCTTTTGTGCATCAAACTCACTTCAGAACAGACGCAGATTCGCGTGATGGGCGGGGCTTTTGTCTGCCCGGTGACTCTAGCTTCGTTGCTAAATAACTAACATGGATTTTATTAAGAAAATAACTGTTCATGTGCTTTATGAAGGCTGAAAAACAGCGTCGATACGTTTAGGACCGTGTCCACTAGATCCTTTCAGAGGTGCATCCAGCTCTGTGAGCTCATAAACTCCTCCAGAAACTTAACCTGGATGATGGAGGCTTTCAGCGGTGCTTCTAACTGAGCCCAGTCCAGTTTGATGAACTGTTGTCGGTGTCTGCTGGAGGATTTCCTCCTGGACACCAACAGCAGGCCCAATGTCACAATAATTCCCCGCAAGCGCAAGCACCTGATTGGTTAATGTGGCGCGAATGTCTGCTTAAGTTCGGATTTTTGAACTCGAGCGAAACGCGCGTTAAGTGCGTCAAATGCACAAAACGCTCAATTCACACCTCGCCATTAGCTTCGCGCTGCACCATTCACGCGTATGGCGTCGCAGGATGTCTATTTGCGCGCTTGCATTGACTTAACATGTAAATCTCTCACGCTTGATGCTCCTTCCGCGTTTGGTGTGAACACAGCATAAGACTTTTAAACACCATCAAAGACTGAAAACCTCAGTGGAAATTCTGATTGTTATTGGCTGTTATTATTTTCCTTACTTTTCTCCCAGCATTAGTGTTTATTTTTAGCTCTAGGTTTAGCTAGTACAGCGGCGGGGCTATTTCATTAAACAACCAATGCATGCAGCACACAATATTGGCACATAAAATTAATTTAATTTATTGCACTTCTCTGCAATATTGATATTGCACATATTATTATTGTGATAACTATAACATTTTCGATATATTGTGCAGCCCTAATTTGTACTATAGTTGTTACCATAGCAACTGTATAATCCCCACGACAGATTAATTATTGTACTTTATTGTAGTATCTGAAAGTGGCACAACCCTGTTGCATAAAAAAAAACAATATTTAAATCATAAAATCAACGTTTTTCAATAATATGAAATGCTATTTTCTTTTTTCCAGATGAATCCTGCAGACGGCTCTCTAAATGACAAACCATGGCATCCTTTAGATTTTACTTTTTACATTTCAGGAAGGTGTAAGTGATGTTAAACTTTTAAAAAACTGGTTTCAAAATTTCTATGTAGCTTTTCATGTCCTGTCAGAGAATCAGCAAGCACAAAGTTTAATTAATTGAGGTTATATTTCTGAAGTTATTGCTTTATGTTAAGGGAAGCAGAAAATAAACTGTGATTTTACACACTGTAGTATCTGGGAATGACACCCGCTTTGGTATGATGGTTTGCACAATTTATTGAGTTTCGCAGTTAAATCATTTATGATCTTTGTTTATTAAAATATAACTGGAATAGATTTTTTCATTTACTGTATTTTTTCTGCACCACATTTAAAAAGATTTATTTTTATTTATAAATTCTTATATTTGATTCATGTTTAGAGTTACTCTCGTAGCATGTTTAAATATGATGATGATCAATAAACATTAGATTATACATTATATTGTGATATGACAAGTTATTATCACCAGATTGTAAAATAAATATAATTACAGAGTTTATGTGAGTGTGTGAGAGTGTCTATATGGATATGCAATGGTTATATTTGGATTTTTATAATGTGATCAAATGAAAATCCATTTTTGTACATTGTACTTGAAGTACCATTTTGTCTATGTTACCTTTCCAACGAAATGAAGAAGCACTTTTAATATGTTAATAAACATTACAGACATGTACAATGGATGTGTGCGTCACTGGCTGTTTACTGAGTCTAGTTTGCTGGCTGTATTACAGCGTCACCTGCTGGTTATTTACGAAATCACCTGATTTCTGAAATAGTAATTGATTATAAGCCCATACATTTTCTACAAACAGACACCATTGAACCCAATCTGACAATTGTGTTTGTAATTGGTAATATTTAGACAATGCTGGGTTATCAAAACCCAACAGGTCAAATATGTAACTTAGTCTTAAATTTAATTTAAAAAAAATTGTGTATCACATTTCTGCTAAAGTTTGATTAATGTATTATGTAGCCTACTAAACATTTCTATCTATCTATCTATCTATCTATCTATCTATCTATCTATCTATCTATCTATCTATCTATCTATCTATCTATCTATCTATCTATCAATCTATCTATCTATCTGTATGTCTATCCATCCATCTTCCTATCCCTCCATCCATCCATCCTTCTATCTATCTATCTATCTATCTATCTATCTATCTATCTATCTATCTATCTATCTATCTATCTATCTATCTATCTATCTATCTATCTATCTATCTATCTATCTATCTGTGCTGTTCCTACCTGCACCATGTTTCTTCCATCATTTCCCCTTTGAATCCAAAAACCGTCGCTATTAAAAGCTGAGTTAATTAGCTCTTAGCTCCTGCAGCAATATTAGAAATTAGTACATTTGAGATGCCAAAACACGCCGGATTGCGAGGCGTGATCACGTCAGGACATCTAAATTTTGCTTCGGAATTTACCCAGGAGTGTCTATTAGCAGATACTTTTTAACAAACCTCTTTTTAAAGGTTATTAACACTTATAACAGTCTACCTGCAGCCTTCACGTCAGTTTCCCGCACAAATAATTTCAAATTCTGGACGAGCGGGAAAATCCTAACGGCTGTGCTCGCGCTGCATGAGGTGCGGCTGTGAAAACTCACTGTTTATCTGTTTATTTAGTTTCTGAAGAACTTTAACATCGTGAATTTTAAAATTATAAGGCGGTGCCTGCTCCACGTGTCTTGTGTAAGTATGTTTTACAGCATTTACAGCAAGTAGCTATGATGTTCTAGGTGATAAGTGGCCTATTAGCATGGTAGTTAGGCTCAGAAATTACCTTGATGGTATATTACATTTACACTAACATTTACAAGTTACTCTTATAATTAACCAATTTTATTAAAATCACATTATTAATACCATGCTAAAATTATGTGTTATTTGTAGTTACCATGGTTTAACAACAGAAACCTTGTTTTGTTATGTTTTTTGTCATAAAGCCTCCAAATCTCAGTTTTACAGCTAATTTACTTTACGTTTCATGTGTTTTTAAGGCAGTGGGCTACATTGTAAATAAATATAGTAAATAAAAATAGTAATCACCATAGGTTTCCATTAATTGATTACATTAAAAATTTAAAAAAATATATTACAATTTTTGTGAAAAGTTATATGTAAATACGCAGATATATTATTTTATTTGATATGTAGTAGTAATTCTTAATACAAATAGGAGGAAGTCATGTTCAAAAATGTTTCTCTATTTCTTTGTTTTTAATATAAGAATCAAATATAATACAAATAGGAGGAAGTCATGTTCAAAAATGTTTCTCTATTTCTTTGTTTTTAATATAAGAATCAAATATAATACAAATAGGAGGAAGTCATGTTCAAAAATGTTTCTCTATTTCTTTGTTTTTAATATAAGAATCAAATATACATATTTGATTATATTAAAAACAAAGAAATAGAGAAACATTTTTGAACATGACTTCCTCCTATTTGTATTAGGAATTACTACTACATATCAAATAAAATAATATATCTTTTAAAAAAGACGATAAACATTAAACAGAAATGTTTTAAAATGTTTCCTAGTACTTGGTTGCGACGTAAAAATATATGCCGGAATATTTGGCGGTTCATTCAACTGTGGGGACCTCTGATAAATAAGGGACTGAGCTGAAAGAAAATCTTTTTATAATTTTAATTGCAGGGAAAAAACATTTATGTAGAGTAAAACAGATTTACATATCTCTCTATAAAAGCAAAATGTTAAAACATAATACTACATAAATACAGAACATAGATGAATAAAACAGCAAATTCTGGTCTAAAATGTGCAATTAGAAGTGTATTTTGAATGCTACAAACCATTTGAGTAAAAAAAAAAAACCTAATTTATATGAGTACTGTGACCTTAATCCATTTAAGATGAAGTTATGAGGTATGTAATTAACTCATTACCTTCGACACTGAGTTCAAAACTCTTTTCTTTTTACTTTCAGTAAAGTTAATTTGATAAAGTTTACTGTTGGGTTTTACAGTGTAGCAGCAGATCAGAAACTTCATTGAAAATACTGCAGTAAAAAAACTTTTCCGTATTTTCAGGACATAGCACTGAGCAATTTAATGCAGTGCTACTTGTCCAGTCTGAGACCCACTTTGTATTATATATCAACCAGGTAGTGAAGATAATTATTTTTTAAAAATCATATCTTAAATGCAATTTTGTAAAGGAATGACATGTTCACCGGAAGTGCTTGAGCTGCAGTACTGACTTTGACATTCTTTATTTATTGTCTAAAAGTTGAAAAGTCAAGGTTTTAAAACCTTTTTCTTAATACCTTTTCTAAGGTATGCATAAGATTTTTTATTAATGTTTTTTTAGTATCTCCAGCAGAAAAGATATACAAAGATGCTGTTTTAAATCTGTTTTTGAAACTAATAAAGTAAGCAGAAGTCAATGATTTCATTATGTAGCCTGACATACTGCTCCAAAATATTTTGAATGTTTCTTAAAATAAAATCTAGAAATATAAAATAAATATATGGGACTAAATAGTTATTTTTTACCCAGACATTTAAAAAGAGCTTGCCTTAGAGCAGTAGCCACAATACAGTTAAACTGATATTTTTATCCAAGGTTATCATATCTGATACCGGCCCATGCCTAAACACAAATGCATTCAATGTCATTACATAAATCACATTAAAATCTCAATTAAACCTATTCAGACTTAAAATCCAGTATTTTAAAATATAAATGGCATTTGATGCATTTTTTTTTGTAAAATGGCTTTTACTTTTAATTTTACTGCAAATTTAAAGGTCCCTGTGCATATACCGCTCTACAAATAAAGACCACTAGAGAGCACCAGAACACTGAAGAATGTTTCAAACTTTACTGGGAGTCCATACAGAGTAAAGATTAGACTTCTTCCATTATTTGGGCCCCAGTCGAGCCTGGTCTTCAAGTCTGTCACATAATCTCGGCAGTGCATCCATCAAAGCCTACAGCTGTCGATCAGCCGCTGTTTTTAGAGTGAGTGTTAAGACACCTGCTCTTGATGGACCTGCTCCGGGACTCATCAGATCTGTTCCTGCGCTATAAATACTCTCTGCTCGTTAGGAACTCTTGTGTAGTGATTAAAAAGGGTGTAAATATATGCTCTGACAACGATTCAATTATGATTCTCCACTAACTGTGCATCATGATATCACGAATGTGATGGGCTTGGATGAAATCACATTATTACTGTTAATAATGACATTATTATTATTGTTTTTATTGCTATTATCATTATCTAAATTTTTATTATTATTGCTATGAATATTATTATTATTATTACTATTGCTATTATCATTATTATTATTATTGCTATTATTATTATTAATATTGCTATTATTATTATTATTATTGCTATTATCAATATTATTTTTTGCTATTATAATAATTATTATTGCTAATATCATTACTATTATTGTTATTGCTTTTATTATTATTATTATTATTATTATTATTATTATTGCTATTTTTATTATTATTATTATTGCTATTATTATTATTATTATTATTATTATTGCTAATATTATTATTATTATTATTATTATTTGCTATTTTTATTTTTATTAATATTATTGCTATTATTATTATTATTATTATTATTATTATTATTATTATAGCTATTGTTAAATATACAAATTTAATACTAGGTTATTTTTAAAATAAGATTTACATACTCTTTTTCACACAATAGATGTGTTTGTCCATATTTAACATCATGTTCGGTTAAAACAACCCAGCATTTTTTAAAAGGGTAGATTGGATCTTTTTTGGTTATCCTTCCACATTTGTGTATTAAATTATTAACTATGGATCGTCATACATTACAAAAATGCTGGGTTGTTGTAATGCAACATGGGTCAAATATGTATGATACCATCCAATGAGTTAAAAGGTGTACATTTTATTTCTTTAAAAAATTAACTCCAAGTTGGGTTGTTTCATATTTAATAAATATTTACATTACAAGAACCCAACATTTATATACAGTATTTGTTTTTAATAACAGAAAAACATTTTAAAGTACATTTCACACAATATATCGGGTTTTACATTCATAGTCGCATTTTGAATAAGGGATGAATGTGCTATACATTGAGTATTGTTATACACTCTTGAAATACTGGGTTGTTTTAACCTGATGTTGGGTTAAATATGTACAAACTCAATATAATATTACATTTAAATCAAAGTTTGTCCATATTTAGTCCAGAATTGGATTAAAACAACCCAGCATAAATAATCAAACTAATTGGAGGCTTATTTGCACAACAAAATACTGACAAAATATATTTTTATAATCTAAAGTATTTGCATTCAGATTTTTTTTTTCTTTTTCAGATTGGAATTTTAAGTAGTGTTTTAGATTTTAGCGTTTTAGTAATGAAATTACTTTTCAGATGTGGTCATTTGAAAATCAATTTAAATGCATATCAATTGGTATTTTTTGAGATAGCTTCCTCAACGCTGCTTATATTGTTATATTATATTAATATATAATTGTATAAATAAATAAAAAAATTTCGGCTTAATCCATTATTTTTCTGGAGTCGCCTCAGGAGAATGAATCGCCAACTTATCCAGCATATGTTTTACGCAGTGTATGTCCTTCAGGCTGCAACCTATCACTGGGAAACATCCATACACACTCATT